TCTATTGATTATAAAGTAAAAATGCATAAGTTCTTTAAAAATCTTCCTTTCTGCCCCTGGGTGTCAAATAAACTAACCAATACAAAGTTATGTTGAATGACTGTCTCTTCTCAAATTGTGAATTTAATGGCCTCAGGGTCAGAGAATCTGGTTTTAGGGTGGGGCTCTATTGATTATATAGTGAAAATGCATAATTTCTAACAAAAAATCTTCTCTGCTCCTGGATATTAAACCAATTATCTATGTACATAGTTATGAAGAAGAAGGATGCTTCTTCCCAATTTGTGAATTTCATGGTCCCTGGGTCAGGGGTTCTGGTTTTAGGATGGGTCTCTCATGATTATAAGGTAAAAATGCATGAATTCTTTAAAAAAAAGCTTTAAGAAAGAAAACTTTAAAAAAGTACATTTTGGAAAAAAATAATTAACAGGATCAATGCTTAAACTTTTACCTTTATCAGGGCTTTCCCATGATTCTAAAATACACGTAACACAAAATTTTGTACAAATATCAGTATCAGTAGTTTCAATAATTCCAGATAACATAAGCTCTTTTTTTTTGTATATAAATTTTCGCATGAGATGCCATATAGCAACATATAAGTCATGATATTATATGGAAAAAATTGAGATATTTACTTCAAATCCGTGTCTTAGCCTCTTTAACAAAATTTATGCACTCACTCGTTCCGGTCCCTTTTCTCCTTGGAAAAGTGTAAATAAGTAATTTAACAAGAAAACATTGATGCAACCATCAATTGTCGCCCGGGAAATATATAAAGTAAACAATGGAAATGACCTTTGATCATCAAACCGCTTCGATACGTGTGAAAAGGCATGCGTCTAATTGATGGAGACGATAGTCGCGAATATTTATTGTCGGATAAATGTCAAACAAAAACGATACCATTTTAAACTTCAATTCCTCGAGTAAATGTTGGCTGCATAAAATATAAATTGAAAGTAGACACATGCATCACCTATTTTCAAAAAATTAAATTTTCAATTTTAGAATATAAAACACGAACTGTGCATAGTACGTTTTTATGCGAGAAGTAAAATTCGATGTTCCAAAAAAAAGGGACCTGTCGTTTTTTCGATAGTAAATGATAAACAACTTTATATATTAAATATGAAAAACATATCTATTTTTACAGATTCACTTTATGGAAGTAAATATATTATGTATCTTGTAATTTATAAAGGGAAAGAACATTCTGATTAACAATCTTTTCAATGTTTAGAAAATCTTTAATTTTGAATAACTTCTCCCACCCCAATCCCCATATACCAACACTTAAACTTAAATGTATAGAGCAGCCCGTTCCTCCGAGCTCCAATAAACACGCAAGGAAGCGATCTGACCTACTTTTGTTTGAATTGAATTTATTTCCTTTAATAATTCTTTTCGTGACTCTCAATCTTTTGTATTTATAAGTTCGTCTGACTGCAAAAGAAAGTTTTTTTTTTTTTAATTTCGCAACTGATATATTTTATTCTACTACAACTAAACAGTACTCTGATAAAACAATTGTGGTGTACTTCCTGCTTGTGAAAGATTCACTTAATATGAAAACACACGGAAGTTTTGTATTAAATCCAGTTAAAGTCAGTGCAAATAAGATCTGGACAATGGAATTTGTGAATTTTGTAAGTACATTTAATTGTTTAGAGAAGTGGTACATTTATAAATACGTACACTCTATCTTTTAGTTTTAGAAGGTCACTTTAACATTTGATTTCATATTTTTGTCTGCGTAAACAGGAGCAACGATTGCTTGATAAATTATATAATTTAAATAACTGTTGGACATCTTTTATGTTAAGGTTTCATCACAGGTCAACATGTCCAAAAATTCATTTTTACAATAGCTAAAATTATAAAACTATGTGGCTTATAAAGTTAAAACTTTTACAGTTTATAAATATATCATTGATTAACAGATAAAAAAATTCTTGATAATAAATACTTTTCAAAATATTTATTGAGAAAAATCATTTTAAAAAATGCATTTATTTTTGTTTTAATAATAATACACATTGTGAATTCCGTACTTTTAGTGAAATCCATCATTGCAGAACAATAAATGTTTATCAATGAAGAGCGAGTTGGACTTCGATACCTCTGAAACGCTGTTTTCCCTGTTTATCTTGTCCAAATGTTATGATGTTAAACTGAAAGTACATTGCAAATGCCGGATTTTTTTTAGGGGTTTTGTCTTTATACATTTTACGCTTTCAATACCAAACTCTCAGAGACCATTCACGTCCAACTTTCCCTTGATTGACAAACATATATTATTTCTGCAATGATGGTTTACAGAATCAAGCTGGAGCATTTTTTAAAAATATGCAATTTTTCCGCTCCATTGGACGGTATCGCTCATCTGCGGTGGAAGGGAATTTGCGATCGCCATCTAGCGGCAAATCACGTTAACTTTGATTACCCTGGTCCCCTGGCTCATCCTTTTCAAGGCAGGAGTATACGAAGCAAAACAGGGACATGGAACCAGGCTAAACTTTGATAAACTGGCCTGCCTGTCAATCGGAACATCACTCGGCCTTTTCCGTCAAGTCGAGAAAGTTTTCAAGTCGAACATCACTAGGCCTTTTCCGTCAAGTCGAGAAAGTCTTCAAGTCGACTTGACGGAAAAGGCCGAGTGATGTTCCGATTGGCCTGCCTGTCTGATATCGGATATGCGCTGTATACAGACAGGTGATCAGTAATGTTTAGAGTCCGCTGCAGACACACTCATTGGCTGATAAAAACTCTCGCTGACATGGAATTTAAATTGTCGGGGAAACCAAAACAGATCTTTGATGCAATTAATCTAATTCGGTCACAATATTTTCCACATACAATACATAATTCTTTTTTTTCTCATGGACCTATAATTATCTCACACCTTTCACCTCGCCTGGGGGTTTTTAATTAGTTTGCAAAGGTCCTACATTAATACCCTACCTTACCTAGATAGAAGAAATCTGCATCATTGTTTAATTGAAACTGACATATTTTAAATGTTCAGTCACCGACTCAGCAGAGAGCTGCGGCTTACCTGTTTATAACACAGGTTCAGAATTTCTGCTGCATCTATTTTTAGAATTCCTTATCACATATTTCGGAAGAGCTTGCAATCTATTTAGATGGGACAAAATGACCAACATGTTTCTATGTTTACATAACCAAAATGGCTTGAATTTTACTTTGTGGTGTAAATTAAGTAATATTATGGCTAACTTGTGCAAAAAAAGGATGCAATAAAACACTGTTGTCATGGAATCTGCAATAGTGACTCAAAGTATACCCACAAAAATATGCAAGGAGTTGAATTTATTAGATTTCCCAAACCTTGGAGAGATATTGAAAAAGTGTCAAGGATGGGCGAATGCTTGTAAACGGTTCATTGGCAGATCCAAGGGGGGGGGGGGTTCCGGGGGTTGGAAGCCCCCTTTTTTGTCAAGTGGAGAGAGAGAGAGAGAGAATGAAACGTTTTCCGAGAATAAATTAAAATACATGTATTTGTACGTCTAACTTATGTATTGAATAGATAGATTCTCACAAATTAAGTTTCTTCCACTCACTATTCCTTTTTTTTTTATGAAAGAATGGTAGAAAATATTCCACTTATTTTTATATATACATCTTATTTATGATATATCATGTATCATGCGAGGTTTAATTTGATATTAAATTCCTGCAGTCTTTGGCTGTGTTGGCTATATATGTACCGTTTTTTAATCATATCTTTTGAAGGAACAAACATGCAACTCTGTTTTAAACCCAACCCGCGCCCCACCCCATTTTTTTTTCAAATTCCAAAAGAATATTCTCTGTACTCTTTGGAAATGCTGCAAATCCATTCAATTTTAAGGCCTCAGTGGTTTTTTAATTTTTTTAAAAATTCGGACTGGGGGTACCATTTCAAAGATATAAATGGACGTAAACAGATATTATTTACCAAAACCTAAGATGTGTGTGAATCTTTGCTTGAGAGTGTGTATAGGTGGGGGGGGGGGATGGGGACAGTACAACCCTGGAACCCCCCTTTCAAATATGGCTGGATCCGCCTCTGAAACGGGAAGGATTTTCAACGAAATTGGGTATTATCCGTAAAATCGCGTACAATACTAGATATTAGGGTATCGTTGAATCCGCGATATCTAGTAAAGGCGGTGTAATCACTTTATAAATCTTAAACAATGGGATGGCACATTTTGCGGAGTTAACTTTCACCTAGATACAAATGTTTTCTAAAGGTATCACCAGTCAAGTAAGAATTTGGAAGTCAGGATTAATGCGCACTGGACAACAAATACCTGCAGAGCTTAGTACATTTCATGATCTGCATCCAAACAGGCGTTTGTTCTGCTTAATATTTTTCATAATGTTGGAAATATTTGCATCCTCTTCATGTTCATACCCAACACAACAGAATTGTTAATTAAAAGATGAATGTGTATGTGGATTTATGCATTGATATACGTATCTGAATACTTGTATCTCAGCTCCTTTTTGTCCTGAAGAGTTAGATATACTAAAGTACTTTTTGGTTTTTTTCACATTTCAGGAAGCTCTTATCATGAGTCACTAAAGAATTGAAATTAATATAGTTTATTGCAATCAATTAGAGTGGTTTGTCCTTTTGATGAAAAATAGGAATTCAGTAAATTACATAATTAAACATTAGACCATGATAACATAAATGAAGAATATGTGTTTGTGAAACACTGTTGCCCCCCGTGTGGTAATATAGCGAAGATTAAACTTTTCTTAAATGCAAATTTAATATATTGGTACCAAAAGTAGGGTATTCTTACTGGAAATACAGTTCTGAAATATGAAAGTAGGCTAAGGCTAAAGTTACTCCATAAATACGGAAATCTCCAAGATAAAGGTCAAAAGGTCATGATTGTTGGTATGCAATGAAAGGGTTATCCACAAAGAATACATAGTGAAGTATGAAGCCCTAACCCTTCAAAAGTTATGACAAAGGATAATTTTTTTTTAAAGTAGGCCAAACTCCAAGGTCAAATGTCTTGCTATAAAATGAAAGGTCTTGTCATAAGGATTAAATATATAAAGTATGAAAGCACTAACCCTAAACCTTTAAAAGTTATGGTCAAGATTTGCTTTATACTGTAAAAGTAGGTCAAACTCCAAGGTCAAAGGGTCTTGGTATCCAATGTAGAGTCTTCTTACAAGGATTATATATGTGAAGTACGAAAGCGCTATATATCCCTTACCATTCAAAAGTTATGGCCAAGGTTAAAGTTTTTTCATAAGTATGGAATCTCGAAGGTCAAGTTTGTTAGTATCCAATGAAAGGTCTTTCCACAAAAATACATATATGAAGTATAAATGTCCTGGTATCTACTGTTCAAAAGATATGGCCAACTACCCTTAGGCAAATGTTGGGGTCAGAATATGAATTTAAAATTCCCGAGAGACAAACAATTATGTTTATTCCGAGCCTCCGTCTATCAGTACTTTCAGTACTTTGATTAAAACATATTTTTCTCATTTTTTCCCCTCAAATATTTGTTTTTACGTTATACTATCTATCTGTTAATCAATGACATAATTATATATTGTAAAAGTTTTAACTTTATGAACCACTTAGTTTATGTGCTATTGTGAAATAAATTTTGGACACGTTGATATTTGATGAAACCTTCGAAATTATATTAATAGACTTATTTATCAAGTACGAAAGCCAATGAAGATGAAACTACGGTAAAAAAAAAAAATCAAAGACTTTTAATGCGTTTTTATTGACTAAGCAAAACTCCACTTATTTAGAGTTTCCATTCATTTTATTTGCACATATGTCAAAGGGGAGGGGGCATAAGTGTTTCACAAACATCTCTTCTTTAGTTTGCTTCGGAGCTTTGTGGATGCCTTGAACTGGTCTATTTGAACTAAACGTAATACAACATATCGAAGTACATGTACATATTTTATTGAAATATAATTTAGGTATTATTTTCGACTATCCTTATAAGTTTTGGATTGTGTGTAACATGTAAAGCCAATACCTGCCAGAATACAACAACTTTAGAGTGCCCGAAGATAGAGCGGTGAGTAGAAAGACAGGTCAATTGTATTAAAACGTTTTTTTAAAGAAATGAATTTAATTTTTGAAGCGTTGTAGTTCACAAACCTCATGAATCTGCAAAAATTAAGTTCATTTCTTATATTTACATTATTTTTCTGATGAGCTAGTTGCCACAAAATTTCTGCCATTCAACTGTCATTTTTAAAGCAAATCAGTTTGCACTATACTTTTGACATCAAGTGCGGTATTATGACCTAACAATGGAGATATGCTCACTCATTGTTGTTCATGAGAAAACATACAGTCTTACTATTGCAAAGAATCTTAAAGAAAAGTATCTGGAAATGTAAATATTCTAAAATATTTGAAGAAACTGTAGTTACTAGTATTATCAACTGTATTAAGTTATATAATTAAATTTATTTAAATTATACGTCATAATCAACACAAAACATAAACAGTTTTTGCACACAGTTCAAATTAAAGCTATATATGGTGTATCTTAGCTAAACATAAAAATACGAAATTAGGTGTAGATTTACATGATATTTGTTATCTACGTTCAAATTAAATTTTTCACCGATTTTGAATGAAAATATTCCCACGTTTTTATAGTTCAATTGACTTTAAACTGTTTCTGATATTCAAGTTAAATTCTTAGTCGGAAATAAATAAGTTATTGTTTTAAATATTGGATGCATAGAAATACAGTTGACTTATATTGTTCAGGAAAGTCCTATCTTTATATAAAGTATAAACAAATAGAAAGTCCTTATTAAGTTCAAGATCTAAGAGATGAATTTTACTATCTTTTTGGTGCATGATCCTTTATAACGTCATAATCAATTTCAACTTTCGAAACAGCTGTAATAGAATTAGGCAGAAAATGAGGTATTTCATGGAATTCAATTTGAAATCATATGAAAAGTAATCCCGATACTTTAATTGTATTTTATATCATTCTAAAGAAGAGGGCAAGAATATACTTACAAATTACCATTATTTGAGAGATTGTAGGCATTCTGGATACATTTCCTTTGTCTCATATTGAGAAATTTTCCAGTTTAATTTTTCATTGAAATTAACAGTTTAAAATATGATTTTTCAACTTGTTAATTTACAAATTATCACCCAGTAGGCACCTTTTATTTACTAGATCTTGACCTTAATTTGTTTGTCTGAACTTATCAAAAATACGCCATATATGATTTTAAACTTTCATATAAAAACACTGGAATAACATACTAATATACATCATAAACAATATATAAGAGTGCTTTGTTTAAAAATGTCGTGCATAAAAGTTTTACACTATTTCATTTTAAGAGAACAAAGGCAAATGATGAAGGACATTCCAGCCACATGTTATAAATCAACAAAAACGTGCTGGTTTTTGAACTTTTTGGGAATAAATTGCAAATATAAGCAAAGGTAAACTTTTTTTTAGGAAACATGTAGTCGAATTCCAGGTAAAGTAAAATACACTTTAAAAAAAAAACTTTCTTCGTTTTTAATGTAAATTGTTAAATCCCTTAACTTTTGCAATATATTTAAAATGTATGTGAAATTAAAATCTCTTCGCTATCAGCGCCAATTTATTAAAATATTGTTTGCCATTTGCAAATTAACGTGTTTTACTGTAAAGATTAAATCTACAAAGGAAGAAGAAAAAAGCAATTGTCATACAAACAAAAATATATTTTTTTTGTACGTAATAAATTACTGTCAATATTTCAATGATGCAGGATTGTCGCTAATTATCATTTTTCAGCAAACCTGACACTTCCAAATGATAGATACATGTATATCAGACTCAGCTTTGGAATGTTTACCTCACAGAGGGTACACATATACTAGTAGTCTATAATCATCTACTTGAATTAAGGAAAATAAGTATAGAACTATTATAGACGTAGAAATTAAATAACTGTGAACAGACTTAAATAGATATTATCTTATACAGATCTTATGGATGTTCGAAGAAAGTTTCTTATTTTGAAACAATCACAGTAACGATGCGTGGCTGCTGTCCCGGATACTATCAAGAGTCTGCAGATTGCTGCGTTCAAGGTAAGGCTTCTAATTATGCTCTTACAAAATATCATATGAAAATATCATATTAAATCATAGTTTAATTGAACTGCTGACTATAGTAAACTGTTGTATCAAAGTTTTTATGCGCCTGGATCGAAAGATCCGAGGCGTATATTGTTTTTGTCCTGTCAGTCTGTCTGTCTGTTTGTCTGCAAACTTTAACCTTCGCTATAACTTTTGAACCATGAATGGCTGAGACTTCATATTTTGTATGCATACTTCACTAAGTAAGCTCTTTCAAATGACACCAAGGTCAATGACATTGTGACCTAGACTGTGACCTATATGCTAAAAATAGCTTTTTTGAACATTCATCATAACTTTTGAACAATGAAAGATAGATACTTCATATTTGGTATGCTTACGGCACTAATTAAGCTCTTTCAAATGACACCAAGATCAATGACCTTGAGACCTTTACTGTGACCTATATTCTTAAAATATGATTTTTAACTTTGTTGCCGCCGGGCGCATAGTGTTTCACAAACACATCTTGTTTCTTACTGAAAACAAAACAAAAAAAAAAAAACTAATAATTACAATGATTTTCGGTTTTGAATTTTTTTTACAATATAAGTCTCACTGGTATTTTATTATAACAATGAAATATTAATGGAATATGAAATATAATACTTTACACAATTCTGTAAAACTTGGAAATAATGTTTTTTTTTTCACTTATATCAGTAAAAGCTAGTGATCTTGCAGTCTTATCAGTCTTATATTGTATAATTTTCAATTTTGATATAAAAAATTGAAGTATTAAAAGAAAGTACATCTTTGTTTAGAATTTTATATTGTTTTGAAGAACAATGTAAGCGTGGGTATTGGGGACAAAACTGTACAAATAATTGTTCCTGTGAAGAGGTCGGGTACGAAAGATGCGACATAAATGGGACATGTCTGTGTAAAGCCGGATGGATTGGATCAAGATGTTCTACAGGTAAGAATTGTTTATTTGCATTTTGAAAATGAAAAAGGGTGAAGATGACTGTGGGACGTGGATCAGTGGTATGCGAAACAGTAGCTTGAGAATCATCTCCTTACTTCGCGATCTTTGTCGTGCCAACGCCAGCCATGTCATTTAGGGATATTGATTAATTGATTTTTTGTATGTTGTTTAACGTCCCTCTCGAGAATTTTAGAGACACCGCCACTTGCCGATTGAGAGCTGCAAATTTTTGCCTATAGTCGGTACTTTTGTACCAGCACATACTGCGACACGGGACCTCACTTAATACGGTCTAATCTGAATAAAGTTAGGTTCCGTGTGGTCTCCGTCGGATTAGACCGTATTAAATGAGGTCCCGTGTATGTGCAGTATATGCTGGTACGAAAGTACCGACTATAGGCAAAAATTTGCAGCTCTCCATTGGCAAGTGGCGGTGTCTCAAAAATTCTCGAGAGTCCCTAACAACATACAAAAAAAATAATCAATCATTGCCCCTAAATGACAAATAAATATCTGAATTCGATGCCATTTGTTGATTTATGGTGACGTCTCTTTTTGAGTGAAAAATTCTCTACTATCTTCGCAAAGATATCCTCATTCACAGTAAGCACGGTCACTTCACTTAGCTCAATGTCTGCCTATTAACAGATGAAAATGGGGGTGTATGTCAAAATTGCACTTCATTACAAAGTTGCTGAAGAACACGTGTAAAGAAAATATGCTATATTACATGAAAAGACAATTCTACCTTTTAAAGATTGCACTTCTACAAATCTTTACGATAAAAGTCTAACATTTCTAATGTTTTGCTGGGCGGTCATAAAAAAAAGAATGTTTGACCGCTGAGTGAAATATTGGTCCGGTCGAGGAACTGTTGGACCGCTTACATCACAAAATGGGTGGAGCTAAATCTCATTTTTATTCGTTGGTGTTCAAAAGTGACGGATCTGTGTTTACATCACGAAAGACAGTACAAAATATATACACTGTACATGTATGTCAAAAAGATTAAAACGAAAGGAATAACACAACATTTATTGACGAAGTTCTCGGGCAAAATGCGTTCTGTCGACCCTCGAACCTAACTTTTTGCCTACGGCTTATTGGCATTAGGCAGACAGTTTGGTTCTTGTGTCCGACAAAACGCATGTTGCCTTCGAACTCAGTCAATAAATGTATATTTTTAAAACGAGACAGGCTTCTGTTACATAATTTGATATGTTTCTTAGACTTCAACAATCTCATTCGAAGTTGGCTTGTCGTAAATTCTAGGTCGTTATGATGACCTTGTTAGCAAACATAACCTTAAACTGGATTTTGTTTTGTCTGCACTGCTTCATACAAATTAAAAGGTTAATCTTTTTACCTAACTAAGTTTAACGACGGAATGTATTGTCTACATGAACAATATTAATGCATGAGCTCACAAACTGAGGTTGTCACCGGCCAATAAAGTATGTATTCTAAGTACCTGATTCCCACCTCTGATGTTTCTTAGGAGTCCGTATATCTTTTATAAAGTACTGTTCCTCAGCGTATTTTTTTTCACTCACAAAATGGAATATATAGAGGTAACGAACAGTATTCAAGCCCAGAAGTCCGATAAAAATTTCAAAGTAGATACACAGCAAACACGGACCTCCAAAACATCAGAATTGGGATCGGGTACCAGGAAGGAGTGAGCATCCCCTGCCTACCGGTTCATCTGCCATATGCTCCTTGTCAGGATTGGGAAATAATGGAAAACTCGGTCATCAATTCAGTGTGTAAATAATGGTCTAACAATAAGGATAAAAAATATCAGTCAGCATTTGACTTAATGGTAAATTGTATTTGATGACGAGGTCATTGTATCGACTATAGAACTTACGGAAGGAAGACTTTAAACGAGACTGTTTATATTTTTGTTTCAGCAACTTGTTTTTTAAAAGCTGTTGATTTAGAAAGTCTTTTAGGCTATATATTACTTTTTTTATGAGATAGGAAGTAGATTGAACTTTCATTAATGGGATGAATTATTTCAGAATGTGTGTCTGGTACGTATGGAATGGACTGTCAATGGAATTGTTCTTGTGACAATGGCGCCGCCTGTAATCACGTGACCGGGGAATGTAACTGTACGTCTGTTGTAGGCTGGACGGGAGAGAGATGTGAAGTAGGTATGTCGAACTGCCGTCTTCATTTTCAGGTATATTTTACAAATAATACAATGGAGAAAATCACACAAGTAATCTTCTACTCTTCAAATCGACCTTGAAATATCTATGACATATAATAATCCTCATTATAAGCACAGTTAATAGATATACTGAGGTAATCAAACAGTAGTATCTCAAGTCAAATAAAAAACGCGGAATAAAAAAAAGCAAAGCTTCCAAAATAGCGGTCACATGACATTGTGTCGTCATTGAACGTATTTTGTTGATATAAAATTAGATATCCACTGTTACTTCTATATATTTGAATAATCAGAAATTTTAAGAAATAAAATCTTGAAAATCTGTAAACCTTGTGATATATCACATCAACGATAGCAAGGGAGACGCGGCGAATAATGACATATAAAGTTCTTTGAACTTCTTAGAAAGGTTTAATTAAAAGTAGAAATTTTTATCCCGTAAAAGCATTTTAGTTACCAATGTTTATTAACATGATATGAAATTAGAAGTGATTTATGAAGCTTTGCAAAGAACCTTGAAGCACGTTGAGAGGCATATAATGAAAATTGTTGCATTAAAATATTAAATTTCCAAGCTTCATTTAAAGACTTTTTGAATTAAAGAAGAAGGTATGGTTTTCATACAAATTTTGCCCTGTGATTTTCTAAAAAATGATACTGGTGTAAAAGTTGAAAACTCATGATTTTTAAATAATTGAAATTCAATGCAGAAAATTCATACAAGTCATTTTTTCAACATGTGTTTTAAATGCTAATTATGACATCATAAACATGAGCATTTTCCCGTATTTTCTCAAAAAGTTGCAGAAGACATTAATTTTCAATGGAATTTTCTTTCAGATGACATTGTCCACAGGCATCGCCCACAAAGATCTTGAGCTATGTGATTTGTTATTGAACTTTGCACAAAATATCAAAATATTAACGTGGGCGACGGCTGTGGACACTGTTTTCTAAAGGAAAATCACCCTTGAAATGTGCCATTTCGAGGCTTTTTTCTGTTGAAAATAGAGAAATGCTTCAAATTAATGACGTTATATTTGCAGAATGGTAAACCTTCATGCCTTATTCTTTCCTGATTTATCAGAGTCATTTATTTAACTAATATTTAAGCCAGTTTCAAAACTTTTTGATGTCATTACATTTTTAGGGCACAATAAAGCTAAAACCATACCTTCTTCTTATAAATTAAAGAGTTGTCCTTCCTGGCTGAGGGTCGAAGTCCCTGAAATTGAAGCTGATAGAAAATTATGATCAGTTGTGAATTTTAAAAATGAATCTCATTTTAAATAACGTAATGTAAAATAAATTTGTTTTGTTTCATGACCTACGTTCACGGTGTAAATTAATTATTACTCATCAAGTTGTTCACATGATATTAAATAGCACACATTATGGTTGTAAGTGAGTATTTCATAAAATCCACAAGTATCTTAATTACTTTATGGCTGCGTAATCAGTTGTTAAGTATGTTAAAGAATAAACTTCCTTTCGTTGTTTTTTTTTTTGTTCACTTTTTTTTTAAAAATATGTTCGTTTAAATGCTCAATTATCACAAGAATATTTTTTCAGCATAGCTTAATTAGGATTGTAATTTTTCAGCATAGCTTAATTAGGATTGCTGAATATTACAAATTCAACCACGATAAAAACTTGTTTTTCTGATAGAGTGCCCACGAGGATCTTTTGGCAATAACTGCAGTGGTGTATGTAACTGTGAATATGAAAATCAGGAGTGTAGCAAGACAACAGGAGAATGCAGATGTCCTCCCGGAAAATCAGGAAGGGATTGTAGCCTCAGTAATAATATTGATACACAAATGCTAGAATTGTTTTAAAATCCTTTTAATTTCGATTACGAGGAGGTTTTTCCCATCAGTAGCTCTCAAGTTAAAAGAACCTCATTTTAAATTCGTGGATCACAAACAATTTCAATGCACATTTTAAATTAAATTGTAATACACATTTTGTGAATAAAATAATGATACTTTTTATGTAAAAATCATGCTAAAATAGTTTGTATTTAGAGGTTTATGCCTTGAAACAAATTTCTCACTCTAGATTGCAGCACGGAATCGTTTACCTTTGGGACAAATTGTTCAGAATCATGTCGATGTATTCAACAGAATTCTGTAACCTGTAACCCAGTCACTGGTAGTTGTAATTGTAAACCAGGGTGGACGGGAGACCAGTGTGAAAAAAGTGAGTACTGCAAAAAATCTGGACTGTCTCAGATCCGATTATGAGATACGCAAAAAAAATAAAAAAAATATAAGGCCGTTAACATTTTGTTACGTACCACATTGAATTTACCGATGACTTATTGTATCACTGTCAAGTAGGCCTAAGTTAGTTTCAAGAAGGCAAACACACCAGTACAAAACTTTTTCGTCATTTTCAAAGTTTTCATTCCAGGGGTTTCATTTTACTACTAGTAGTTTATCCAAAGGTTAGGGTAAGGGTTACTAGGCACCTAGGGATATGGTTAGGGCTATCCCGGTGTCCTAGGTTTTACTCCTAAGGTTAGGGTTAAGGTGAAACTGTTAGGGTTAGGGTTAGCGTAAGGGTTAGTGCTAGCTAAGCCAAAGCTGGTACATTTAGGAAATTAAATAAACCAAACTATTTCTAAATAGCAAGTCCTAACTAAATTGTATGTAATATATATTTTATTGACTATGAATGGTACCTAAGATTGAAAATAAAAATATCTAATGAAAATATAAAACAAACGCTAAAAATTGTACTTAAGATCTAATGTGTTTCTAATATTTCCTATTATTATTCTCATGCCTTGTTTTGGTATATTTTCGAATTATACATGGTGATAATGAACACTTCTGAAACTCAGAAGTTCATTAACAACACAAAATTTGGAGCAGTGCAAACACAGACATCTAAAACATCACAGGTGGGATCATGTGCCGTGGGAGAATGAGCATCCCCTGCCGTCGGTCACACCACCGTGTGATTTTCGCCATGATCGGAAAATTACAAATAAAGGACTTAGCTGACAAAGTCATTGTTTCGACCATTAAACTCGCGAAATGATGACTTTAAACGAGACCGCTTATATTCTTCTTTCATCATCTGTCGCCCGCGTGGCGCAATGTTTTAGAACGTCTGCTATAAATTCGCGGAGTAAGGAGCCAATCCTTACGTCAAGTGTTTGAATCCCACTGTGGGACGTGGAGATCGTTCCTTCAGATGAGACCGTATAAACCGACGTCCCGTGTCGTAGTAGATGCTGGCACGAAAAAGATCCCTCTCTGTCCAATGGCCTTGAGTGTCGAGTATAGGACAAAATTTAGCTCTCCACCGTCAAGTGGTGGCGTCTCCATATGAGTGAAAAATTCTCGAGAGGGAGGTTAATAGTAATCAATAAATCAATCTTTCATCAGCTTGTTTGTCAATAAACAACCTCGTCCTCGTTTTAGAATTTTTTCTTACGTGGAGCATATGCTCTCTTGTGTATCGAAATAACGGAGAGACATGCAGAGGATGTAGGTATATATTGCTGCATAAATAAGGGAATTTGACGATTGTAAAGTTATAGGTTATCACTTTTAACAGAAAGTTTTATTGTTAGAATACCGTTAGCACCTTTTTTTTAGTTAAATACCAAGATGTGTCTGATATCAGTGTAATGTTTTATTTGAAGGTCACTAGGATATATCGTATTGGTTTCGAGCGAAATAATAATTGTTAATTAACAATACGATGTATCTAAATTTTGAGTTGAAGACCGCAAGTGTTTTCCTCTTTTCACGTATAAGATTTTGAACAAATTTTGCTTCATGTGAATATAAAAAAGGTCTGTTTGTACCAGACGCAATTGGTACCCAGGGCAATTTCAATAGATTAATAGAACACTTGGTTTAAAAAACCATATAGATATTGACAATCAAAAATTCAAGCATTTTTTATACATCAAATTCAGTGTTAGATGCGTGACCCAGTGGATAAAGTGTCTGCACTAGAGTCGCGGAATGAAGAATCTATCTTTTCGTTGCGGGAAACCCATTTTTGGAAGTGAAGACCAGTGTTTGGGTTACACTGCATAAACAGAGTAGTAGGTGTAGGCACGAAAAAGATCCCTCCCTGCTCAATAGCCGAGTACAGGGCAAAAAATTTGCAGCTCTTCATCGGCAAATGGTGGCGTCTCCATTTGAGTAAAAACTGTCGAGAAGGACGTTAAACAACCATCGAACAAAATAGAAGTAGTGAGATTCAGCAAACCAACATGTACGTGTAGGTGTAGCAGGGGATTTTCTCCGGAAATCTGTGCAAAACGTCATTAGTTTTGCCAATGAAGAATTTCTTCACATATCCACTTACGTGTAGATTGCTAAGTGCATGTTTACAAGTCCAAACTTTTGGCTTATTATTTTGAAATTGTTGTTTATTTTTCAAAAAGTGTGCTTTTTTCTAAGACCTGAGTATTTTATGCAAATACTTATTAAAAGAACTGAACATCACTAATTAAAAAATATGAATTCATCAGGAGTTAAAATCATTTGTGAAGCTCAAAAGTCCTTCGAAACAACCATATCTTGAAGAAAGAAAAGTCTTTAAAAAAAAAAAAAAGAGGTGGGATCCAGTGTCATTGAAAAGAAAGCATCCTCTGTGTAGCACCGGTTACACTCGTTGTGTGCTTCATGTCATGATCTATATCGGTCAAACGGAAAGTCTGAAGAGAATTCAGTGAGTGAATAATTATCAGTCAAACAATTTGAATCGAAAATGTCAGTCAGCATTGTTGGTAGAAAAATTCATTTTGACTTTGATAAATGATGACTATAAACAAGTCTATTGATACTCTTGTTTCAGCACAAACATTATTTGGCCTCGTTTTAAAGAAGAAGGTATGGTTTCCATACAAATTTTTCCCTGCGATTTTCTAAAAAAATGAAACTGGTGTAAAAGTTGAAAACTCATGCATTTTTTAAGAAATAAATAACAAGTTTATAAACTTCAATGGGAATTGAAGTGGGTCGGTCACGTGATCAAATCCTGTGAAGGCCGAAGGCCTTCTCAGAAGATTTGATCACGTACCGACCCACTTCAATTCCCATTGAAGTTTATAAACTTGTTATTTATTACTTATATATACATTTGAGACAAATAATTGAATATTTTTAAATTTAAATTATTGCACTAACCGTCCGTCGTAGATTTTGAAAATGACGCAAAGTGTAAATCGGCTTGCATGGCGGTTACGCTTCGAAAATTCATTAGGCTAAGGAATCTATTTCGAAGGAAATATTTTGTGAAAGGCTACTTGTGATCATTGTTAGTGAACACATTGTTGTCCGGGAATATTTTTATTCGTAAAAATTGATAATCGATGCTGAAAAGACACAAGAGACACGTCCGAAGTTTGATGACAAAAACTGGAGGAATTTCGGTCGCCGGAAAGGCTTAAGGGATGGATAGATCCGATGGATTGAGACACTTGTCCGAGCCAGTTAATTTGCAATTTGATCAAAACATTCTACGATTTCAGTAACTAAAGGCATACTTATCGTAAAACACTGATAAACACAGAGACACTGGCGACAGCCTTACATTGAACTACGAAAACGCCGAGGTTTTTGGCAGCTGTTCATGGCATTATTGCAATGATATTTTCCAACAGATTTACACATTTACCGTGAGTAGAATCTAAAGATAAATTAATAGTTTATCATGAAAATTTAACCAAAGGTCTTCCCCAAAAATAAGGATGAACGTTAGAGACTGCGCAGCGGACAAAAGACGAAAAATGTAAACAAACACTAGTTTCCTCTCTATGCACAGGTTGCATTGAATCGATAGCCAAAAAAAGCTGTAATTAATTCTTGTTTACATTGTAAATAAAATAATTATCATTTAAGTTGCTTATTTTGTTCATTTTTATACATGAAAAGCAAGTAGAGCAAGCCATTTTATAATTTATAGACCGGTAGATATTATTACGCCTTGTGATTAGGTCACGTATTGACCTCTGACCTCTGACAAACTTCATACAGAATTGAAGATATTTTCTCTCTGTATGTTTATATAATGGAGAGATACCACAAATGTATATATAAATAATTGAAATTCAATGCAGAAAATTTATACAAGTCATTTTTCTCACATGTGTTTTAAATGCTAATTATGACATCATAAACATTTGCATTTTCCCGTATTTTCTTAAAAAGTTGCAGAAGACACCAATTTTCAATGGAATTTTCTTTCAGATAACATTGTCCACAGGCATCGCCCACAAAGATCTTGAGATATGTGATTTGTTACTGAATTTTGCACAAAATTTCAAAAAATTAACGTGGGCGACTGCTGTGGACACTCTTTCCTAAAGGAAAAATCACCCTTGAAATGTGCCATTTCGAGGCTTTTTCTGTTGATAATAGAGAAATGCTTCACATTAATGACGTCATATTTGCAGAATGGTAATCCTTCATGCCATATTCTTTCCTAATTTATCAGAGTCATTTATTTAACTAATATTTAAGCCAGTTTCAAAACTTTTTGATGTCATTACATTTTTAATAATAATAAAGCTAAAACCATACCTTCTTTGTTCGCACAACATGCTAATGCAAATAAGGAGAATAACTATTAGTTATTAGAACTTGTTTCTTATCTTTTTGCTTGTCAAAACAAAACAATGCAAATAGAATCAGCTATGTAATTCTAATATTATAGTGGAAAAGGGTATATTGCTATAAACCGGTAAGAAATGGAAGTTGATGATTGAAAATTAAGGACATCATGTTAATCATAGAACTTTGTTAATTATTAGGCATGTTGAAATTTTAAATACCTTATGCAGATGATATTGCTGCATAAGTAATTAAGGAAAGTTGACAATTGAAATTTTTTGTTATAAGGCCACCTTAACGTTGTTTTCTAATTTTTGTAATACATATATATCCAAATATGAAATATCGGTACATGTGTCAGACCCTATGGTATAATTAATATTACGTCTATAAATATATATTAATTATAAGTAATTATACATCGTCGATGCCTTCAAATCGACCAATGTCCGAATAAACACAAATTTTTCAAACGTTTCGTATTTGAATTTTTATGACTATCGATAATTATGACAAACTAACATCTAAATTGACTGACAAACAAGATGACATCATCTCTTCCATCGTAAACGTTTCTTATTTCCTTATGTTATTCTGCTATCATTTGCAAATAGTGTTACTCTGTACTGTCTCCCGAAGTGTTTCCGTTACTCAAGCGTATGCTCTGAATAGAATAAATGATTAATCCAGGAAGCTTAAATACAGATAAGTAGTATGCTGTGAGTACGATCAAAATTTTACAAAACAGGCTACAAAGATAAGTTGTTTTTCCACGAGCATCTTGAACTTTCTTTGGACGTTAAAAATGTTAATGATTTTGTTTGCATTGGTTCGGATTTTTCCAATTATATTATGCTAATTGTTTGGCCCTTGCTTTATACTTGATTTAATTGTGGAATGTTGCGTCAATTTGACGCAAAGACAGGGCTCATAGGGTTGATTGATCAACATGTACAAAGAATGCTCGACATACCTATCAGATCACTGCTATGGAAATTCTGGCGGTTGCGTTTAAACTCTTTTAAGATTTGTACTTGTAATAATTGTAGATTTTGTTGAAGATCAATCATTTTTCGCTATTCTCACCTTTTTCATTTTTATAAATACATTATAGGGTGTCATACTTCTAAGTATGGTGAAGGATGCTTGAAAAATTGCAAGTGCAGTGACACGGAAATCTGCGATTCGGTGAATGGAACCTGTCTACTTGCAGGTGATTGCACCTAAAATTATGCTTCAAAATATACATTTATTGATATATGTTGAAACACCAGTACAGTTTACATTCAATGAAAAGATTTACATTAGAACATGTATTTGGTTTTAGATATTTGCTTTGCTGATTATACAAGCAATTGCATCCCACTTAAAAATGTAAGCTGCTCTCAATTAAAAGAAGACTGCAGCAAGCTAACCGTCAATTACAGCAGTAACACTTTAATAAAGACTCTCTCAGGTAAGGTTTGCGTTTCGATATTTTGTATTTTGAATACTGATTTTTTATAATAAATGCATCGGAGGCAAACTTTGTTTGTGTGTGTGAGAGAGGGTGTGTATGAATGTTTATTATGTATGTTTAATGTATGTATGTGTAATGGTGAGGGTGTGTGCGTGTATATGTGAGAGAGATTGTTTAATTATTCTCAACCAAGGAAAACTAATTGTAGATATTTGCTGCACGAAAAAAAGGTTCCAGACCCTTTGCATTTCAACAGGCAAATGCAAATGTCTCAGGGGCTACTCAGGAAACAGCTGTCAAGGTACGTATTATGCTTAAATTAGTTGAAAATATATTGAGAGAGAGAGAGAGAGAGTAAAAGTTAATTTTAAGAAGGGAAGTTAAGTAGAAATTTTAAACAGCTGAAAACAGATCTCAACAACATATGTTTCATGTCATTATCATGACCTACAAGCATATATGTTTCATGAGGTCATGTTTCTCGAGGTCCGCATTTTCTATTTTGCACTTATCTTGATGAGATTCCTTGGAGTTATTGGTGAAGGGGAACAAAAATTGTGAATTTCGTGGTCCCTGCACCTCCCCCCTCCCCCGGGGCCCTATTTGTGGGACAAAAACCACCAACATTGATGCAATATTTAAAAATCTTAATCTTTACTCTTGGATTGTTGATTGATTGTATGTTGTTTAACGTCCCTCTCGAGAATTTTTCACTCATATGGAGACGTCATCACTTGCCGGTGGAGGGCTACAAATATTGTCCTATGCTCGGCACTCAGGGCCATTGAGCAGTGAGGGATCTTTTTCGTGCCAGAACCTACTGCGACACGGGGCCTCGGTTTATACGGTCTCATCCGAGGGACCGGTCTCCACGTCCCGCAGTGGGATTCGAACCCGCGACGTAAGGATTGACTCCTTACTTCGCGACTCTATAACAGACGCTCTAACCACTGCGCCACGCTGGCGACTCTTTACTCTTGGATATCAAGCAGTAAAACAGTTGGCATGATTGTAATAAGCATTTAGTCCTTTACCGAAATTATGAAATTCATGGCCTCTGGATCAGGGGCTCTGGTGCCAGGAATTGGCTATATAGATCATATCGTGAAAATGCATTATTTCCTTTCAAATCTTCTTCTCTGATCCTGGGTATCAAACGAACTAACTACATGTGTAGTTGTGATAAGGAAGGGTACCTCTACAAGAATTATGACTTTCATGGCTCCAAGGTCAGGGGTTTTGGTTTTAGGGTGGGGCTCTTTTGATTATATAATGGTAATCTAGCAACAAAGCTATATGATAAACGCGATGACTTTAACTTTTTTATCGTCAACTTCCCTTATGCAGCAATATACCTTCATCACCTGCATACGGAGTCTCTATATCTCAGTTGATTCAATACGCGAGAGCATGCTCTACTATGAGCAATTTCTAAAACGAAGTAAATTATTAACAAGCAAGTTGATGAAACAAGATTATCAACAGTCTCGTTAAAGTCATCATTTTATAAATTTTATGGCCGCTACAATGACTTGTCATCAAATACAATGTGCTAGCTGACGTTTTTCATACATATTCTTAGTCAATTTTTATACACTGAATTGACAACGGATTTTCCCGTTATTTCCCGATCATGACAAGGAGCACACTTTGGGTTTGACCGGTCAGCAGGGGATGTTCACTCCTCCATAGCACTTGATCACACCTCTGATGTTTCGGAGGTCCTTGTTTGCTTTGCTCAAATTTTGTATTGTTTTATGGACTTTGATATTGAATACTGTTCATGATATCCATATCCTGTTATACTTTTACTAACGTCGCTGTAGCTGTAGCCTCATTGTGACCTCACGTACGCACACGTTTAGTTTAAATATTTAGTGTTGAAAGAGAAGTTCCGGCTAAGAGATAGGTACCCCAAAGCATAACAGACGGACTGAAGGACGGAAGTAGAAGGATCACTTTACACCCTCCCGCTTTTTAAGCAGGGGTGGGCTAGGGTTGGGTGGGGTATATTAAGAAAAAAACCCTCACAAAATAGGAGAGTATAATCCACGAATATTTGAATGTTCCTTTGATTTCAATCCCACGAAAACCACCGCATCAATACAGCAAAACTTAATCACTTTGTAAAGAAACATCATCAATGTGTCTAAAAATATTTTTTAAACATCTATTAAAACAATTATGGAGGGTTGTGTTTATATTTTTTTTTAATTTCAAAGAGATTGAATTATGCTACTTTCTGTTATATGCACACTTATAATTAAAAAAGGATGGGTATTCAGTTCGTCAAATTCAAACACAAAATCTAATAAAATACTGACATCTATGCTATATTTATATAGATGCGTTCGAATGAACTCCTTTGATCGTTGCCTGACTGTAATCAAAACAGTAATAGTTTTTAGCGCAACATTTTTGTTTCAAATTGCACACAAAAGTAACATCCACTGGGATCCAGGGATGTCGCACCAGATTTTTCTACTGGTCATAATAATATTATAAAGTTTGGGTTTATATAATCTTTTAATCTTATATATATAATCTAAACATATAATCTTCTCGAATATGATCCTCATTTTTTATTGTATAAAACTTTAATTTCTTGATTATATGTTTGCATATGCATGTCTTCAAAGAGGTCCTCTCTGATGGCGTCATTTTATTGTCTCATTGAATATTAAAGCTTTTATATACAACATTAGGAATTTTTACAAAATATTTGTATTAAAATTTTGAGAAAAGATAATATATCTTTTTATTTCTAAATTGATTTTAATTTTTTAATTTTTTTAAAAAAATTTCTTTACATTACAGAAATTTTGTCAATGGACACAAAACAGGTAGCTGACCGACTTAAGTCTGGAGTATCATCATCAGTGGTTGTCACAGTTACTGTTATCTCGGTTCTGGTATTAACAGCTGTAGTCGTGATTGCTGTGTTATGGCGTAGGAAAGGCGGGTAAGAAAACGTTTCAATACGACAAGCATTTTTTTCGAATCTGAGAAAAATGTTTATTTTTATTAAAAAAAATAAATACTGCCTATTTTTGTAAATTTTGTTTAAGATAACGAAAGATATTCATGATCCAATCAAACTAATATAAATTGTGAACAAAGCAGAAATGAGCATATTTAGAATAAAAGAAGGAATTATGTGCCATTGAGGAGTAAGCATTCTAACATTTTTCCTGCTTGTGAAATCTTTGTCTTACTGTTTAAATAAGGGAATCTGTAGAAAATTTAAATTTGAATTACCTGATACATTGGAATGACTTCTAAAATCACATTAATTCAAAACATACTCGAAACCGTAAAACAAAGGTATTTTGACCAAGTCTATTGATGAAATACAAGGGATGTACGGAAATAATTGAGACGTTCATATTTACTCCATAAAGGACAGTGGTAAATTCATGAAAATTCGTCAACATTAAATCAAGAACGAATAAAACAAATGATCAAAAAATTCTTATTTATCGGAATTGATAAGTTCCAGTGACATTATAAAAATGTGTATGCTTATTGATCGGAACAGCACTACTACGCCACTTTACGTCCGCCGGAGATGTTTTTCGTATGTAGAACGATCTGAAAGCGTTTACTCGTATATCTATGTTGTCACATATAAAATTCCTAAAATCTCTTTTCTTTAGCGACTCTTTAGAAAAATTATGAGTACTGTTTCCACCGAGGATAAATCTGTCATTTAAAGATAAATAAAATTTTTAGTTAAGTTTTCCTATTATGTCACAAACGTAATAAGTTTCGCTATGAACTATGAAAATTGCTGAATCACACCAAAAAAAAAAGTTCTGTCACACGCCGGAAACAGTTATGTCAACTTCGGTATCGGGTGAAATAACACTTCAATGCTTTCCTGTCACCTCGGGGCAAATATTCTGGTATGTCACCCTCGAAGCCATTTGATATATGTATAATGTTGACTGTTGTATAATACAGTACCGAATTAGGGCACACGAGACAACGCTATTTCGTCCTTAGTTATTGATGGTCGTCTGGAGCTGTTGATTTTACTCTAGTTGAATTATTTGTGAAAGAAATATATATAGCAATGAGAAAACACCAATAGAATGCTTTTCTCATGGTTATAAATGTTTTAAATATAAATTGTTTTAACAGGACGCTGAGCTCAGTCTTGAGTTAATTCTCAACAGCGCATCACAAAATCTTAGGTATGATCCATGCTCCGCCTAGGTATAAAATTATTACCTTTCTTTACTACGCTTCACTTATTGTTATTGATCTCAGTATTTCGAATAGAAATTCTGACAAAGTTGCACAAAAAGAAGTCAAAGTAATATTAAAAATCTATATCCGTAAATTGAATTAGTCCTTCTTACAATAGGCACATGTGACATGCACGAGTTTAAACGTTGGTGTCACATATTTTCAATATCAGATTTCGTGACTACATAGGGTACCACTACCATTTACACATTTATACACAAATGAAAAGAACAAATTAAAAAAAACTTGCTCTTATAAGGTCCTAGCGTTTGCCAAACATATATTCAAATTTTCACTGAAAGACGTTCACCAGAAAGAAAATTATACACAATGTCTTAATGATTTCCGAAAAGCCCTTGTATATGGAGATAACGAACAGTATTTAAGACCAAAATTCCATAAAACAATACAAAATAGAGGCGGGGCAAACACAGACCTCCAAAACATCAGATGTGGGATCAGGTGCCGTGGAGGAATGAGCATCCCCTGCCTACTGGTCACCCCCGTCGTTTGTGTTCCTTGTAATGTTTAGGAAATTACGGGAAAAATGAAAAACGTCATTCATCATTTGAATCAATGATAAATTGTATTTGCTGATAAGGTCGTTGTTTTTTAACAATATTTCTTTAAATTAAGAGGCTTAGTTTATATCATAATGATTGTCTCTTATTCATATTAAAGCTTTTATAAGTGATACATGTGATGCAACAATGTTTCTGTTTTCCTTTTTTTTTTAAATCAAGCATCAATACAAAAAAGAAAGACAACAAGAGTGCCCACAATCAAGTTTATGGAAAACCTGTATTGGACAATGTCACAGGTATTTTAAAATACAGTTTAAATTTTTGACGTCACTTTGATTTTAAAAGAAAGACGGGGTAAGTTTTACATTGAAACCGTACCTTGACATAATAAAATAATTAAATTGTAGGCCAAGGGTCAGATCAAAGACCACAAGAGGAAAGCCAGTTAGAAATGAATATTCTAAATCAAGACGATGTCAACAATTACGGATACGACGTTTCTGCGAGGGATTCCAGAAATAAGGAAAACGAAATCTATTCTAAAAATCTTGGAGATATGTATGATCATCTAGAGAGAAATAGTTCCAATGGCCCAAACAACATAGACGAAACATATTCGCACGCCCAACAAAATAGTTCCAATGGCCCAAACAACATAGACGAAACATATTCTCACGCCCAACAAAATAGTTCCAATGACCCAAACAACATAGACGAAACATATTCTCACGCCCAACAAAATAGTTCCAACGGCGCAAACAGCAGAGACAAGACATATTCTCATGCTATGCCGGCGCTTGTAGACGATAACGAATATGATACAGCCGGAGTACATCATGTACCTTCAGATTGTGTTTATGATCATACTAACAATCAAGATCAAATATACAGCAACCAGATAACAGAGAACAAGAGCTGAAGATAGATATAATTATGTTAAAATAAATGGACATTCCCATTGAAATATTTTTTTTTGATTTTGGAACTATTTAATAGAAGGAAGCTTTGAAATAAATATTTATTTGAACAAACAACTAATGGTTCACTACTGAACTTGAATCTTTGACTTAGGTTCATCACCTCATTTGAATTTATACCTATTAAAATGAGGAAAAAAAGAAATGATATTGTACAAGGTTTACAGATTTGCCTTTTTCTGAGTAAACATTCGTTAAATCCAGTTAGATTTATTTCATTTCAAGGGTCATTAAACTATAAGAAGAGCTTATGGAAAATACTTTCATTTGTACTAAAAAATGGCACTTAATAAAAGATTTTCATTGTAGAGCAATATCTGGTGAAACCTTTGTTTCATGATGTGATCAATCGATTGGCTTGTCGACATGAAATAAAAAAAAATCTGACAATTATTCATTATATTTACATGCTCTTGATTCCGCAAATTAACGTGCCTTCTGTCTCCATTTGACCCGCCCCGCATGTGATTCATTAACACGCCTATCGATGAACCAAAAAATTTATATAGAAATAAGTATTTTTACTATTTGTAATTTTATCTCGGATTTACCAATTTACCATTGGATATATAAAGATTTAAGAAATGAAGCTTATTTCAACTTATGTTATACGATATAACATAACTTGTGGCAGTTTACGCTTTATAAACCGCGAAGCGGTTTATAAAAAAGTATAAACTGCCCCAGGTTATGTAATATTGTATAGCATAAGTTGAAATCAGCTTCATTCCTTATAATTTAATTTCAATGTAGACAATGAGACAATTTTTCCATTTTTTCCTTCGGAAAAAGGCTTCAAATATCGCATATTTTAAAAGTTAACGTCAAGCGGAGTAATACATTTTTGACGTAACTCATTGTGACGTAGGCAAGTTATATTATACAAATAGATAAAACCGTTTAACCAATTAAATGACGTGTTACAACTAAAATTAAATTATTTTAATATAATACATATGTTATTTTAGGTCCCATACGAGAATATTTTTGTCGATTATATAGAGACTTTACCATTTACCGGTGAAGAGCTTGAAAGTCTAACATTTACTCAGCTTTTCACGGTTGAAAAATGAAGAATCTTCATCGTACCAACGTCTAAACCGTGACACGGGGCCTCTTTTTTTTTGAGTAATTTTCACTTTAGGTAACCGAAGGAATGGCGAATGAACAGAAACTGTTACTACCCATTTTTTATCGACTTAGGTCAATCGCTGCCTAGTTTCGAACTCAAGACCTTCTGAGCGCTCTACCGACTGAGCTACGGTGACGGTTAATCAAAAATTGAAAGCCATTTTTTCAAATGTTCAAACCCTCTTCCAGGAGAGAACCAAAATATACTGTATACAGGGAAATTTTCGCCCCCGTTTTATTTTCGCCCCTTTCGCCCTCTTCCTGATTGGACGAATTTAAAACTGCGAATTCAAATTACACAGCATAGTTTCTTAAACAAAACTATGACTGGGCGAATTTAAAACGGTGCAAAATTGTTTGCAAGTGCAAAAGGGCGAAAATAACACGGGGCGAAAATAACCCTGTATACAGTACGTCTAGACCTTCCCCACTAGAACCAGTGGGCTAGTATAGATGATACTAAGTGAAACTTTGTTTTTGCGTTGATGGTAATTTAATTATGTCTTCATGTAGACAATTTAAAGTAAAGAGTTGTATACTAAATGATATGTTGATGTGTTGGTAGCATGATTGTGATCAACCCAGCTTATGTTACTTGCCGTTTCGGACGGCACATGAAATTTTGTTGTAGGGAGTGAAACCTGTTGTCTGGCTACCCCAAAGTTGATGTTATAAAAGTTTTAAATACATTAATCTGTCCACTGTGGCCAATATATGCATTTTATTGTTTAAATAACAATAAAAAAACTGTAAACTTAAAGAATTAATGTTGATGGTCTCATTATAGCATTGAAAACTGATCGGAAACACATGGACATCATTATGTTATTATGACTTGGTGCAATCTTTCGAAAATTTGATACCTATATAAAAAATATTAATTAGGTCAAGAAGAGGCCTTAAAATAATTTGTACCAAATAGGTGATACCTATTTCACTAAATGCCTTTCTTAAGGTTAACGCCCACACTGTTCATTCCCATAAAATTACGCTTTCTATAAAAATAATTCACTTAAACACATACAATCAAATACACCCAATATCAGTTTATCGTGTGACAAAATTGAACATTTCACCTTCATTATTCAAAATGATTTATTTTTTTCTTATTAGGGATCCATGATCCCTCAAAGCATCCAAGATGCCAAAATTCTTTTTTCTTTAAAAGAACAGAGATTTATTTAAAATACTTTTAAGCCTTCCGTCAGGAGATAAAAAAAGATATACTTAAGCGATTTCATGGTAGAGTACATTCATTTTTTTCAATGTTAAAAAACCAAAACGGTCAATGGCATGAAACGCAAAAATAGGGACAAACAGGACAACGATTATTAACCTGAATATTTATTGGCGTATTTCGGTTATGCTTAGCCATTGATAATTATTTAATATATATAGAAACAGTTAAATGCGCAAACAGGGCGGAACAGAATTGCTGGGTCATTGATGCATCTCTATCATACTTTAGAGTTTCACCAGAATACAACTTCTAGAATTACAAAAACTTTTCTTCCAAGTAATCTTCTAAATGTAGTCACTTCTTTCACGTACCATTGGAATACATGGGTACACAACAACTGTAAGTCCGAAAAATCTGATGTTTTCCAGGCAATGCCATTTTTTACTTTTGATATATCAGGTGCCAAGAAAGGTCAGAACCGGCGCGTTTTGCAATTTGAAATTTGGCCGTGTCAACCGGAGTTGATTTTCGATACTTGCAAACCGAGTTAAATGCCGAAATCAGATTTTTTTTAGCAGAATACTTCTTGTTCTCATCAATATCAATGGAAAGAAAACATCACTCAACATTTGGAAACAGAACTTGCAAGTATTTAACATTCACGAAATGAAAACAAATCTCCACAGTCTGATAAGATTATTTAATCGGATTGTATATTTTATAAATATACCGTAAAAAGAATGCTAGTAAGTACGAAAAGTATTGTACTATTGACGTTTTGTGAATTTGAAATTAATGCGGTTTGCAAGTATTGAAATTAAACCCGAGAATGCCGCTTCCGGTTGGAGGTGACAAATTCCCAGTTTACGTAATGACACCAGGTCTGACGGTTTCCTGGTACGTAAAGTATCCAAATCGTAAAAAAAACTGGTAAACTGTACTCAACCATCTTTCCATTTACACTGAATGCCTCAAATCTTTATAAAAAATTAAACACTCGTTTTAGAAGTAGTCTTTAATTTGCTGGGTTATTTTTCCCTGTTTATTTTTTTATTCATATTAAACTTAGTCATTTTTTCTGCTTTATATATGAATATGAATTGAAGCTTCGTTTTTCTTTTCATGTGTGCGTCTTCTATCTCCATCTCTTGGAAAGGAGACATATGATTTTTTTTTAAATCTTTATTTACTTAAAAAGATTAACGGCATGCTTTTTTCTTTTATAAAATTTACTATGATTCGTAAAAGAAACTTTGTTAGATAATGAAAATAAAATATTAAAAAACAACAACAACAACAACACTTTCTCCACAGAAATGGTGTATGATTAGCTGGAAATGGGGCTAGTAATAGAGGGAAAAAATTTAAAATCCACGTATAAAATTAAAATTTCAATATGACTTTCCCCATTTAAAATATTCATTCTTTGATTTATGTCAAGATTCCATCGGGGTTTTTATTTTTATCGAGATAATTACTTAGAGCCTGATAAATCTTATAAGCTTAAACTCGACTGATCATATAAAAAAAAACAAACATAATTTTACATTTCCATATTGCCTTGTTTTATTTTCTTACAAAATGCTTCGTTGGTGACTTTAAAAATCCTTATTAAAGGATAATACTTAATTTTCAATAACCTTTTCTAATCCCTCTGTGGGACGTGGAGACCGGTCCTTCAGATGAAACCGTATAAACCGAGGTCCCCTGTCGCAGTAGGTGAATGAGTGAAGAACTCGAGAGAGAGACGTTAAACAATATAGAAACAAACAAGTGCGGTAAACACACGTAATAATCCTACATATTTCTACACATGTACAGAGGCTCCGTGCTTTGTAGACGTAACATCAGCTGTCTTCACAATATCATGTTCTCTACCAACTTCGACTCTGATTTTAGTTTAGAACGTGTAAATCTGAACAGATATAATTGTAAGAAACATTTCCCACTCCATCAACTTTCATCCTGCTTCTCCAAGTATTCAGTACCTGAACTCTACAAAATTCATCACATAGTATAGATTAAGGAAAAAGTCTTTCGTTGTATTTGTAAGATTTGCTTTACATTTCGAAAATTGGCAATACTTACCTGTTTTTTGAAATGCTCCCTAAAATGACGTTGCTTCTACGCTGAGGTCAATTTAAGTTATATATGAAATTAAATTTAAGTGTTTTTTTCTGTAGTTTTCACATTAAAACCCCCTAATTTCGATGAATTACAAAGCAAAATTATGTTCCCATAGAGGGGTGTTATAATGTTTATGTCGATGACGTTTCATTTGATACAAAATGGCGCTTCTAACCTGAGGTACATATCGTCGTCCTCCGCTCCCCAGCCCCAGAACATGTTGGAGTATCCGTTTACTTTACGGAATGTTTCTGGTCTGAATCTAACACTCCACCCACTAACCAGCTGTACATCAAACCTAAATCACAAATCATCATTATCAATCGTTTAGACTAATCAAGTCAAAGATAAACGTTTTCAAATGACAACCTTGAGGAAGGAATCTAGGCTAGGAGTAAATCTTACTTATAGCCATCTTCATCGATAGCCACTGACAGATGGCGTGGCTGTTCCCCACATTCGTAAATAATTCTATCGTTTTCTGGAATAAGGTCGACACCATGGAAGAAAACACAATTAAAGGCAAACATTTTTCCTGCTTCGAGAAAACCTGCATTCATATGTCTTCCTCTATTAAATGTTGTATTTCCTGTCTTTAATAAAATTTTTCTTAAATTTGATTTTCTTTTTAAATTTGGATTGAGTAAAAAATATAGAATAACAGAAACAAAATCATTTGTACACTGGAGCAGTGTACAAATGATTTTGTTTCTGTTATTCTATATTTTTTACTCAAACCAAATTTAAAAAGAAAATCAAATTTAAGAAAAATTTTATTAAAGACAGGAAATCACGAAAATTCTAAATTCTGTTTGTTGAACGATTAGAATGGGGATAAGATTCTTAAGAAGAATGCTAAGATGTTCCTCTCTATCTCTAAACGGTATGATGATTGCATTACGACGTGTCGGTCTGCAGTCTGTTGGTGTCCAATATCCGCCGACCATTGGCTTTAAGCTGTGCATCGTCCGTCGTATGACTAGATGTTTTTGAATAGTCTGTTGTTGTTTGACATTTTACTTGCTCACACTTTGTTCCATTACAATAATTCATGTTACACATCTCTACAACGCTACGTTCAACATTGAAACTACCTGTGAGGCCTTCCTCGAAGACGCAAGGTTGATTATCAACTGAACTTTTGCCCTCTGGAAATGGATGTGCATAGATTTAAATATGAGTGCTTGCATCTAGCAGAGCAATGTGTTTATAGATTTCAAGTGAATCATAATAAAAGCATTAATTTGATTTAAATATCGATTTTTTAATACATGACTAATGTTTTCATTCTTTGTCTTCCTATTTTCCACAATACGATTGTAAGGACTTCTTTTATTGTAAAAGCAAAATGGAAAAAAGGTCTCACAAGTTACATGTAGCCCTGGAAATTACAGTGGTGAGATCAAGTTCTACCAAGGTCATTTTAACGACAATAAACTTTTGAAAATGTTAAACAAGGTTATGCAAATCTTTCCATGTAACATCAATGTATCTGTCACTAGCCTTCTGCGGTTTGAAAACACAACATGTTAGGAGCAAACTCTTTGATATCAAATAAGCGAGGAGATATAAAATTATATGCAGGTGATAACGAGATATCGCATTCTAAAAACTGAAATCGACTATGAAAAGGTTGAAATCATCTTCTTTGTGATACAGTTTAGTCGTTAAAAGGCTCTTATCCTCTATAGTCATAAGGCATCTAAATATAAAACAGAGGTGACAGAGTCTGTGGTGTCATTGATATCAATGATAGGGGTCAGCTAATGAAGAAGCACAATTAGTACCCACGGTTTTCCAAAATTTACTTGGAAAACTTGGTCACCAAAGACCAAATAAATGTTATCAATGAGCATATTCAACATCTTTTGAATATCAAAGTCAAAGTACTTCTATGTGTAGAAATACAGTGACCTAAGTCTTAAACAAAGTAATTTACTGATGAAGAATCACAACAGAGAGACGCTTCAACTATTTTCGAAGAAGCAGTTGTCAATGACAGCAAAAAGTCCATTTTTCAATTCTTTTTGTGGAGAATGGTTTTATAGAAGGCATAATAGTCACATATTCTGTTACTGACTTTTGAAGAATTTACCGATTTTACATTTTCTAACAGTTTTTCTTTTGTAAAATTTAGGAAGGTACATCCGATTAACTCCGCAATTTATGAATTATATGGAAATAACAAACAATATTCAAGTTCATTAGCCCATTTAAAAAATTCAAAGAATACAAATAAAGAACAGAGCAAATGCGGACAACTAAAGCAATTGAGAGGGGATGAGGTGCCATGAAGGAGTGAGCATCCCTTAGACCGGACACACTTGCTTTTTTGCTCCTTGTCAAGATCAAGAAGTAACGGAAAAATCCGTAGACAGTTTGGTGTATAAATAATGGTCTAAAAATTATTATGAAAAATGTCACTCAGCATTTGACTCACCGTGTGCTCATTGTCATGATCGTGAAATAACGGAAAAATCAGTCGTCAATTCAGTGTATAAATAATGGACTAACAAATAGAACGAAAAACATCAGTCAGCATTTGACTCAATGATGTACTGTATTTGCTGAGAAGGTCATTGTACCGACCATAGAACTCACGAAATGATGATGATATTCTTATTTCATCAACTTGTTTGTCAATCTATTAGTATGTAAAGATTTTTATATAATCTGTGAATCTTAAATATAGGAATATAAGTAGGGTAGATCAAACTTATTTTAGTTGACTGGAAATTTAAGAGTTTTTAACACAAAAATGTGATTTTGTAAATGTTATCTTTAGAGAGTGGCCTATACGAAAAAAACTTAATTAAAATAAGTATAATTAAAACCATGCGATATGTCCTTCTAAATTACAGTTACAGAATACTCTTTAGCCTTGTAACTTGTAGCTAAGTGGACATTTTGTCATGAAATCTTAATAATTCTTTTATCTCCCCGATTTAATGAAAACGGAAGGATAATAAAAAAATTAAAACAATTACATCCATACAATATATAACCTTTAAACGTGTGTGTGAGGGAGGGTGTGTGTGTGTGTGTGTGTGTGTGAGAGGGAGGGTGTGTGTGTGTGTGTGTGAGAGAGAGAGAGAGAGTCATACTTCTCTGTGAAGTAAATGATGAATTGGAACACGATTTCCTAGCAAATTGAGAGTTTCATATTTCTTGGCTTTTTTTCTCCGATAGATTTGGTTGTTGAGTGGTATACAAATTCCAAACAGAGGTTGATGAATTTACAAGTTTTGTGGTATTCAAATTCTTTTCAATACTGAGCTGTTTTGTATTTTTTTACGAGCTCATTTGCTCAGGTGAGCGATGTGTCCCATGGACCTGTTGTTACTTTTTGTTCTGGCACAACGAAATATTTTTGGGTTTACCATGGCAAAACATCGACACTGCCATTCTTTCTAATTAACCGAAGAGTACCCATTTCTTATCCACATACCCTTATATACCACTGAATGAAAATACTTTCACAGATTCTTTATTTCATAGTTCCATTGTGCATTATACTTTATGGTCTGACACTTATTTCGGGTCTCCCAGAGCAATACATGGACTTCGCCATTAGTGACGTATAGGACGTGCAGGGTATCCTTTAGTGAGCTCAGTGATCACAGGACCTCTAGTTATGTAGCACTAATATGTTTCCGTTTCTTTTAGAAGTTATTTTAACGTTTTAAAATTAGCAGAAGTTCCTTAATTTTCTCCAGACGGATGAAAAACATGTAATATATTAACTGGGTTCCCCTTACTTGCACACCAAAAATACTTGGTCGAATTCGAAATTAATTTTTTTTTTTTAATTAGGGTAACTAAAACAGATCAGTTAGGATATTTGATTCAGGAAGCAAATGTTTATATATATTGTACCAGCAAAATTATATAATTCGCTTAAATAATTGAGGATTATATGTGCTCTCGCAAAGCGCAATTTAAAACAAGAAAATGAAAAATAAAACTTAAGCCATATAATGTGAACAAACGTCTGAATTTTATTTTGGCGCAAAAAAGGCGCTTTAAATCAGGTTTGAAACTAGATGGCGAAAAGTTCTAGGGCACTTCTTTTGCTTTGCTCTAAGAAGGACTTTTTCTGTACCGAGTTTTAGCCTTACTGTGTTTAAAATTTTTCATTTCTTCTCCAAAGACAACAGGGTTGCACAGAATATTTATAACCCTAATAGAAAAGTGGGAGGGTAAATAGTGATCGGGTTGTCCGCCCGTCTATCTAGCTGTACGTCCGTTCGTCTGTAGCGCTTTTGAGTTACCATCTCTTATCTACAACTCCTCTTTCACCACTGAATGGAATTTTTGTAACGTACTTGCTATTTTACACATCCTATTTTACAATTTGATCGCATCATATTTTTTATCTTTCATTTATTTCGGGTCTTCCAGAGCATGGACTTTTCCATTATAATCAAACTGGAGACGGGCTTTTATTAGTAATATTTAGTGAACTCAAGGCTCACAGTACCCCTAGTGTTTATTCCATGAAGGGAAGAGAATATGGAATAAAAAGAATAATCTTAAAATTTATATTCAGAATAAACTTTCAAAATGTTTCCAAGACATGTAGGACCACAACAAAATTCTAAGGAATCCCAAGAAAGAAGATGCTTACCTATAATATATTGTGATTTTTCCGTTATTTAAGAAATAAAATAAGCGTATTCGTGAATGTTGCAGAATAACCTCCGAGGTCACACACACACACACACACACACACACCCACACACACTGGAAAAAACTGGATCCGCGCCTGCCTCTTTAACTTCCAAATTGTTTGCAAAAAAGTGTTCTCAAAGTATCTTACATCTAAACAATGATGCGTACAAATGGGTAAACTAGACGATAACTGGAGAATGCTACGCACCGTATTAGACAATTCTTATTTTCATGCTCCACTCAATGAAGTCAGTATTTTATTCATTGTTGTAATGGAGTTTATAGGAATGTAAATATATCGGTAAGGCAATCCTCCTTTAAATGCGCCAACCCGGAAGTAAAAGTGTGTTTGTTGATAGACGGTGACTATGAAACGATAGGTAAGTTTTTAATCATTGGCTTTGAATTGATCATATTGAATTGATCCTTTCCCTTGTTTTTCGAAAACATTGTGAAATTGTGCCAAAAACGAGCTTAAAAAGTAGCCTGTGTACGTGTCTGTATATGATCGTAGTAAAAATAAATGTATAAAATGGAATATTTATATTTTTCGTTACATATTTGTTGTTCAGCACTTTAGATTTTAGATTTATTTCTTGCAGATATCGCTTACTTTATCAGTGCTACTCACCATGGAAGTAAAGTTGATGGTAAGTTTTTTTCCCACTTTTCCCTTGTGGGACGATATACGGAAACGTGCTATATTGTTATTTCTACATGTATGTATATGGTAAAGAATAAGACTAAGGGGTTTAAAAACAAACACAGAGTTCAGAACGTCTGAAAATTACGACGGCGTATTCGTGCCAATTTGACAATGTCGAAAAAAAAAATTTAAAAATCGTTTGTACAATTTTAGAAAATCGTTTGTACGATTTAGAAAATCGTTTGTACATTTGTACGATTTGTTAAACCGTTTGTACGATTTGTTAAACCGTTTGTACGATCTTTTAAATCGTTTGTACGATTTCTTAAATTGTTTGTACGATTTGTTCAATCGTTTGTACAATTTAGAAATTCGATTGTCCATTTTTTATGCCCCAGTAAACGAAGTTTCGGGGGTATTTAGTTTTTGTCGTGTCTGTCTGTCTGTATGTCTGTCTGTCTATCTGTTTGTCTGTTTGTCTGCAAAAACATTAACCTTGCCCATAACTTTTGATTTAGTAGAACTATGACTTTCATATTTCATATGTGTATTCCTTGTAACAAGACCTTTCTTTGGGTACCACCAAATTTGACCTTTTGACCTTGACCTTGGAGTTTGACCCACTTTTATATGAAAATTTTAAAATTTTATTTTGGCCATATTTTTTGAACAGTAGACACCAGGACATTTATTCTTCACATATGTAATGTCTGATAAAAGACCTTTCACTGGATACCAAACAACTTTGACCCTTTGACCTTGACCTTGTAGATTTCCGTACTTGTGAAAAAACTTTAACCTTGGCCATAACTTTTGAACGGTAAGGGATAGGGCTTTCATACTTCTTATATGTAATTCTTGTGAGAAGATCCTTTATTAGATACGAAGATCCTTGACCCTTTGACCTTGACCTTTGAGATTGACCTACTTTAAAAAGTAAACCTTGACAATAATTTTTAAAGACTAAGGGCTAGTGCTTTCAGACTTTACATATTTGATCCTTATGACAAAACCTTTCATTTGATAACAATAACTTTGACCCTTTGACCTTGACCTTGGAGTTTGACCTACTTTAAAATATAACATTGACCATAACTTTTAAAGGGTTCGGGCTAGGGCATTCATACTTCACAAATTTAATCCTTGTGGCAAGACCTTTCATTTCATATCAAGAACTTGGACCCTTTGACCTTAACCTTGGAGTTTGACTTACTTTTTACAAACTTTAACCTTGACCATAACTTTTGAACAGAAGGGACTCAGAGCTTTCATATTTCACATGTGTAATCCTTGTGACAAGACCTTTCATTGGATATCAAGAATATTGACCCTTTGACCTTGACCTTAGAGTTTGACCTACTTTTTACAAACTTTAACCTTGGTCATAACTTTTGAACGGCAAGGGCCAGCGCTTTCATAATTCCCGGATCTTGTATAGAAAGAAGACATCGAATATCTTCTTGAGAAACGGTGAATCCTGCCATAATTACTTTCCAGTACAACCACCTGTATCTATACAATTGACCACATGACCCAAATTTTTCCTCAATGAAAAGAGCTACATCCTCTATGCCGGATTTGTATTTACGTCTGAACAGTCCCAACTTAGCTCTTGTCCTTTTCAACGTTGATCACTAACAAAGACTCCGTGAGTTTGCGAAAGGATCTGTGTTATATCCGAAAAAGTGAAACCCATCTTGAATTAAATATCCATTGATCAATTTTCTCTGTCACCCATCTTGTTATTAATTAAAAATATGCGTGGATACATTTTCTACTTGTGCAAGTTTTTTCTACCACGCTTCTTCTACGTGTAATAACAAGAAATATAAATTGTACAAACGATTTTTAAATCGTACAAACGATTTATAACAATCGTATAACAAATTGTAAAAACAATCTAAAAATTCGTACAGACGATTTCCTAATCCATACAAACGATTTAAAACTTTTTTTAAAAAATCGTTCAAACAATTTCATAAATCGTTCAAAAGATTTTCTAAATCGTTCAAACAATTTCATAAATCGTTCAAACGATTTTATAAATCGTTCAAACGATTTTATAAATCGTTCAAACGATTTTATAAATCGTTCAAACGATTTTATAAATCGTTCGAACGATTTTATATATTGTTCAAACGATTTTTAATTTTTTTTTCTAATTGTCAATATGCACGAATACGCCGTCGTAGAAAATAGTACAAATTCATTTTATGTTTACGGATTTAAAATCCCAAGAACACGAAGAACAAATTCAATATAATTTATTTTCAAGCTTAGTAAAATTAAAACTTAAGTTAAATTCTCAAATCTTGAAGGTGTAAAGGCTTTATTTCCTTAATGGCCTAGGTATCAAATTGCAGTTGATATTGTGTTATTTCCTATAACTTCTGGTCGTGCGACCAAATTGAATTAAATGCTTATATTTATGTCCTCAAATTTACTCTCTTCATAATTGTAAATTTCGTTCTTAATCATGTATATATAGCGTATTTCATAACTGGTACGCTAAGTAACGCAAATGGCATATTGAGAGGGGAAAGAATGACTAGTAATTTTTTTTAAACGCACAATGTATACCCAACATAAACAAGACAGCCAATTAAGAACAAGTTGAATTACTTTCCTTTTGGCTTCTTGAGACTACTCGACTATCTAACAATGTTGAGAAGGTTTAACATGGAGGGGAGCCCGAAAGGAAGCTGCAGTCTTTATATAGACTTTAAGTGACTCCGGGAGGGTCGAAAATACACATCATACTGTGTATTCCATCTTCCAGTGAAAAGGTTTCGTGTGTTTTATGGGGTAATGAATATTTTTGATTCCTATAGTGGATTTAATAAAGAAAATACTCTACATTATAAAAATGTTTACATGTATTACTTTAAGTCATGTGTGAGGTAGCTTGAACTAAATCATTTATTAGGAGAAAAGGAGTTCATTAAAATAAGAAAATAAACATTTGTAAGTCAGACTGTATAACATATATTGAAAAAAACCTAAATGGCTAGGTTTAATTTGTAAACTTAAATACACCTTAGTATGTCTGGTTTATATAATTCCTGATTTATTCATTCAGATATTTCATTGAAAATCCTGCATGATTACTGTATATTTTCATGGATTTATATAAAATATTGTTATTTGTTTTCTCATTGATAATAATAACGTTACTTTATCTTTCTAAATGCCATTATCCAGCTACAGTCATTATTTTCTAGGTATTGTTTTGCATTACCCCTGGGATTGCTGTACAGGACAATCAGAATAATACCTGTCTATTTAATGTGAGGTGAGTAAGTCGGACACCTGGAAAATTTATTGAAACCCATAATAATTGGATACCCTGTACAACCAGTCTGTAAATCAAGTAAAAGACCATTAAGAAAATAGTGATTCGTAGCACGGTCGAAATTCAAATTAATCATACCCATGGAATATAGGGATACCCTAGCCCAATTCCAGAGGTGAAGAGAACGAAATGCGATCGTGCTGTTAAATCAAAGCAAAAAAAGGCAAATCACAAATAAGTAATAAACATAGTCCCTCAGTGAAATCAGGTGCCTATAAGGAATAAGCATCGATCCAACGGTAACATCTACATGTACCATCACTACCATATGAGCCTTCTGTATTTGACCAGATTAAAGGAGTAATTCATTAATAGTCAAATTGATCTAAAACAACGTCCTCTCATTTATAGAGAACAGTTATTTATAATACAAAACTACATAAGAATATTGGTAAACAAGACTAGAATAACGATTTTGAAATACATGAAAGCGGTTATTAAATGAAATTGTTGAAAACAAGGAAACATCAACTTATTTATCAACAACCTGTCCTTGAAATCGCTCTTATGTACTGGATATTACGTTACCAGACATATGCAATTTAAGCAAGTGATACTAGATTGTTGATAATAAATAGATAAAATTGACGATGGAATAGCTGAAATTATTCCAGTTGCCTTATAATTCTGTTGTTAATCGTTTTTAAGCTTGTATTGTCACGTCAGTAATATTTATAAGCGCGAAATATAGATGTAACAGACTTTGTCTTTGGTTTTTGACATATTCAATATATCGAGTTCATCTAACATCAACGAAAATAACTGTTGTATTTTGAGAAATCGTCGATATTTCAAACTCTTAAATTTCATCTAAGTCAAGAATGATCCTCTTCCAAAGTTTTGTTTTTAAAATAAAAGCTTTGTAAAGGTTTTGGAGTAAATTCTTCTTCATAAAAATATAAACAGACCTCAAGACCATAAGCTGAGAACAGGCATAAGTCAAAAGTTTGATTTTTGATATCTTGAGTATCGTTTAACATACTAAGTATTTTCCTTAAAATTTACAATTCTATTCAATTATCAAAATTATTGCAAAACTTATTATATTTTTTGAAATTTTTACTTAAGGCTGTTCTACGTTAATGACCTTGAGTGTAGTACTTCTTGAAGATGGGCATGCCCTTATTACATAAATAAATGCGATATGTATGTTCTGTGACTTGAACTCATATACTTGCACAATTATTTTTCAGCGTGCCGGAGGAATCAGTCACTTCTGTTATGGATCAATGCGCGAGAACTACGACGACGGGGTGGTTTTGGGGGAAAAGAGATGTAAAAAGGCAAATATTCCTTCCATGAATCATTGAGACTTACTTCACATAATATTTAATGTCATTTTTCTGCTGCTCATTTGTTGTGCTCGTTCTGAAAACTAGCGAACACTGCGTACATTAAGAAATAAAGTATGCGTTTTCGTGAATAACACGGATAAGGGTTTAAAGGGATGAATGTAGTTTTACACACACTTTATATGCAAAATACATGTCTAATATAAATACCTGGGATGTAAATACGTCATGTGATCAAATAATATAATCCCATAAACCCAGAAGGGGCTTTATGGTATAGACTTGATCACATGCTGACCCGTATTTTCATCCAGATATAACTGAAAAAAATGATGCTTTATTATTTACAGATTTATTTTACATTTTTGACTAATTTATTACTTATAGTAAGTAACGGTAGTTTTAAATCCAAAAAAATATTTTATTTTTCAAAACTTAACTGTATTTTATGAATTGAATGGGTTGAACACGTCGATCACTTATGAAGTCACTATCAAATTACATAGATCACTTATGACCAAATATTTACATTCAGTGTAATTTTCTCTATGAAATCCATTTGAAATACACGACATTCAAGTCTCTATGACACGCCAAACCTTGTCACCGCTCGTTAGAATACAGTAGGAACTATAAACACTGAACCAAACTTCTAAGTGTACTAACATTTTTAAGTTTTAAAGAACAAATGAAGGATATGGAGATAACGAACAGTATTCAATCTCAAAAGTCCATAAAACAATACAAAATAAGAGCAGAGCAAACACGGACCTCCGAAACATCAGAGATGGGATCAGGAGCCATGGAGGAATGAGCATCCCTTGCTGACCGGTCACACCTGCCGTGTGCTCCTTGCCATGATCAGGAAAAAAACGGAAAAATCCGTCGTCAATTCAGTGTATACAATTAGTATGAAAATGCATGCAATAAATATTTTTTTTAATTCATGGTTACTGATGCATATTTCAGTTCCGTGTTGCGTACATTTCATGTAAGTATCTCGTAAGAATTTTAAGCAAAGTGTCAATTAAGGAAATGACGCACCCTCAAAATAAAAGTTCACATTAAATAGTCTCTATGGAGTAAGACCACCACTCAGTCTAATTACTTCAGGACACCCTTTACTGTTGGATACCATGTACCCCTGAATAGGAGATTGACCGAGAATGGAACATTTACTGAAACCCGCAATAAATCTCTGTAAGTTCTTCAATCCAATGTATATGTATGATGATTCGTATTGATTTTGATTGTTTGGAATATTGAGAAAGAGAAAAGACAACTAACTTATGGTTAAAAGCTGAAAAACTTCATGTTAAAGTGTAAATTTTTCAGATCAAAGGGTTAACTTTATGGATTAAAGTGCAAAATGAGCAGATTTATGTGTGGAAAATTAAAAAACAGTTTTAATTTTCACAAATACGCTCGTAAATACTTTGATCGATACAATGGCATTGTCAGCAAATACAATTTATCATTGAGTTAAATGCTGACTGTTGTTTTTTATACTAATAGTTACATACTAAATTGTCGACGGGTCTTCCAGTTATTGCCCGATCATGATAAGGAGCACAAGGCGGGTGTGACCGATCAGCAGGGGATGTTCACTCCTCCATGGCACCTGATACCACCTCTGATGTTCTGGACGTCCGTGTTTGTTCTGCTTCTATTTTTTATCGTTCAGTGGACTTTTGAGCTTAAATATTGTTCGTTATCTCCATATATTAGTATTTCACTTCTGTAGATAAATGTTATTCTATTGCATAATTTTTTTAAAAAACCAAACACAACCTTTACATTTTCAGATATTTTAACTGTATGAAGACAAGAAAAACTCTTATATCCATTACTCGTCAGATCTACGGATGTTGTGAGGGGTACCAAAACGACACTGGCATATGTACAAAAAGTACACTTTTTTTTCAAATTTTCTTTCATAAACAATATAATATAGGCCTAATATACAAATTTAAAGTAGAGTTTTATTTAAGCCATTGTTACATGTGCATCCAACCAATTATCGGTATTACAGAATATCATAATTACAAGAGGTCTATGGGCCAAATCGTTTACCTGAGCACATCGGCTATAGGAAAAAAGCACAGATCAGTTCAGTATTGAAAAGTTAAGTACAGCTATTTATAAGAACCAGGCAGAAATGAAAATAAGTGATTCATGATAGTGATAGATTTTTCAAAAACTATCATATTTACATTAAGATACATCAAACTAAATACTTGATCACAGTTATAAATGGATTTCATGCATAGTTGATTAAAAAATGAATTCAATATATACTGAAACAGTCAACAGTATCCATTGAAAGGTGTCTGTACGTGCAGGTGATTTTTTAAGAAGGCCCGCACTCTCCTTGAATGTGAATTATAAAATATTGAACATCTAGTATCAAAGAGTAAAAAACAATTAAAAAACCCATGGGTTATTTTAATTACGAATAGATATTGTGATTTTAAATTATGTAAAAACATGAAATTCTAGTTATCTCCCTTGGCGCTCTTTAGTAAAAGGAGTTGGAAAGAGTGTATTTAACTCTTCAGTTTAGAAGGGGAGGATTAAGAAATGTGTGTGATTTCATCTTCATTTTGGAAGTTTTGCCAGTTTTCATACATCCAAGGGGCATGTAAGTCTAAAATTTTTATTAGAAAAATATATTCCTAGGATAAAAAAAAATAACTGCCTGCAATTTGCTTAATTTTATCTGACAAAAACTAAATTTCATTTCCTAAACATGCTAGGAGTTTGAGTGTTTTGAAAAAGGCTAACTTGTTCAACAATATCATCAAAACTACTTAAATTCAGTTAATTTTGGGGAAAACATTTAATTTTGTACTGGAATTTGAACAGTAGCTCGCTGCTGGGGATTAGAGTATGATGAGTATCTCTCCTTTCCGTTGATACTCCCTTAGTACTGCAATATACACAGTCGACTGGAAGAAATCCTCGACCCCAGCATACATGAAGCCATAGCAAGAAGCAGTGAAAGCCACAGCAGAGATTGGATGGAGCATAATTTTTTCTATGTCTCGGCACCTCTATGGATGTCATATTTAGATAAGGTATTTAATACATAACACAGACAAATGTCTAAACAAAGACAATATTGACTATTTTTTTTCAAATTAAAAAAGGGGAAAGTCAAGAAAAAATGATAGCAAACATACAGGCTGACTGCTAGTAAAAGTTATCAGTCCTGCTAAAAAACTACCAGCCTAGCTGAGAAAATAATTGTCTTTTGTAAAATTTATTTTTGAAACTAGAGGTACTGTGAGCAATGAGCATTGAGCAAATGATACCCCCCCCCCTGGCCTCCCATATGAATATAATAGTGTCCATGTTTTGCTGTAGGAAAATATTATATTAATAATGTTATACTTTCATACAATACCACTATTTTTTTGCCTAATTTTACTCTTAAACACATGAAATCTCAGGAGCTTCTGGGGCTTTGCCCCCTGGACCCCCTTCATTCAAACTATGGTATGACTAAACGTATGACTGTACTATGGAACATCACTTTCAAGACCCCTTGTCTGAACAAAGTTATCCACGCCCCCCCCCCTCCCTTTTAATCACAAATCCAGTACTGCTCATGAAACCATTAGTTGATTTGGAAGCGATTAATCAAATTATTAAATTTTAATTAATGAAAACTTTAAACAAGTCCAGTTGGGCATCAATATGTGCAAATTGGTAAGCCCACAGCAAAATTTGTGTGTCTCGGGCAGTCAGACGCACTGTTATTTCAAACACTGTTTACGGAATGGCCAATGGGTCCTTCTTAAAATAGTGAATATTTAACTAAGCCCTGAAAAAACTCAGATGTTATGGCAAAACCATAATTACTATTTTTCTTATTCATTTAATCAAAATGTAAAATTGTGCCCTTTCAAACTGTATATTTCCAAATTTATATGTGTATGATATTCTTCAAATGCATTTCCTTTTATTTGAATTATATAGAAGGGTGGGGAGCCCTACAAAATTTAATTGATAAGCAAAACAACCAATAAATTACTGTTATGGTTTTATCAGTTGAAAGGGGGGGGGAGGGGGTGTTAAAGCCATAAAACCCTATCCGAATGGGGAAGGGGGGCTTCCCAAATATTCCTACAAGCAAACATATACACAAATAGAAAGAGAGAGATTTATAATATGAGAGCACATACAATATGCATGGGTTTCTGCCAATTTTTTCATCTAATTTAGGATTAAAACTAAAAAAATAAAATTTGATCCTACAAAACTAGAACTCTTTTTCAATTTATAACTAATAGTATGAATTCATTATGATATCACTAGTACATGGGGGAGGGGGGGAGGTAAATAAATATTTTTTATCAATAATTCAAAAGCTAAATTGTTATATATTAAATGTATGCATTCTCTTGTCATATGATGAATATCATGATTTGTTATCATTTCAGATGCAATCTGAGCCTTGTTCTGAATTTCAAAATCCCCTTTGACAACACCTGCACAGCTGAGGTAGTGTAAACTTAAAAATTGAGGACAACCAAAGAATCACCAAGAAAAGATTATCAATTCAACTAACGTTAGTGTTACATATACTTTATATTATTTATGTATCATTAGATAATTCGGTTACATTTTGTGTTGACAACTTGCAGTTTTTTGCTCACTTGAGCTGAAAGCTCAAGTGAGCTTTTCTGATCACATTTTGTCCGGCGTCCATCTGTTTAGCTGTCCGTCTGTCTGTAAACTTTTACATTTTCGACTTCTTCTCAAGAACCGCTGGGCCAATTTCAACCAAACTTGCCACAGAGTATCTTTGGGTGAAGGGGATTCAAGTTTGTTCAAATGAAGGGCCACGCCCTCATTCAAGGGGAGATAATTGGGAATTAATGAAAATTTGGTGGCATATTTTAAAAATCTTCTTCTCAAGAACCACTGTGCCACGAAAGATAATTTATTGAAACTTATGAGGAAACATCCTCAGGTAGTGTAGATTCAAGTTTGTTCAAATCATTACCCCCGGGGGTAGGGCGGGGCCAAAATGGCTGACCAAAGTTTTACATAGAAATATATAGGAAAATTCTTTAAAAATCATTTTCGAAAAAATAGCAAATCCATGATTGGTCATGGAACTACTTTTGGATTTAAACTGTACAATAAAAAGCCATTTTCTACTTTTTCCTACCCTTAGTGCTCAGGTGAGCGATGTTGCCCATGGGCCTCTTATTTTTAATTATCATTAAGAACATTCCTTTTCGTTTAGCAATCAAAGGCCTAGGGATCCGGGTTAGAATAGGTCCTCAGTACCCCCTTGCTTGTCGTAAAAGGCGACTAAATGGGGCAGTCCTTCGGATGAGACCGTATAAACCGAGGCCCCGTGTCACAGCAGGTGTGGCACGATAAAGATCCCTCCTTGCTCAAAGGCCCTGAGTGCCGAGCATAGGCCTAAATTTGCAGCCCCTCACCGGCAATGGTGACGTCTCCATAGTGAAATATTCTGGAGAGGGACGTTAAACAGTATACGATCAATCAATCACCTTCTGACTAAGGGCTGAATTATAGTGAACACTACGCTTTGTGATTCTCTGAATTTTTTAGCTCACCTGAGTTGAAGGCTCAAGTGATCTTTTCTAATCAAAGTTTGTCTTTTGTCTGTCATTGTCATTCTTCAAGGGGAGAGAATTACAAAATTAATAGCATTACAGATATCTTCTAAGGAACCAATAGCCCAGGAAATATGAAACTTATGTGGAACCATTGTCGGGTAGTGTAGATTCAAATTTTTCAAATCATGTACACCATGTGTAGGACCGGGCCACAACGGATGATCAGAGTTTAACATAGGAATATATAAAAAAAAATATTTTAAAATCTTCTTCTCGGATACAGCAAGCCTTGATTGGTAATATTTATATGAAAGCATTTTCAGGTGGTGTAGATTCAAGTTTGATCAAATCATGACCCCGGAGATAGGGTGGGACCACAAAGGCCAATCAAAGTTTAACTAAGAATATAGAGAAAAAATCCTTTAAAAATATTCTTCCAAAGAACAGAAAAGCCAGTAAGTTATATATACTTATGGAAGCATTTTCTTGTAGTGTAGATTTGTTCAAATTATGACCCCCCCCCCCCCCCTCCCCTCAGGTATAGGGTTGGGCTACAATAAAAGTGTTCAAACTTGTAGGGAAAAACTCACAGTTAGTCAAAAATAAGTACCCTGTAAGTATCCTTAGACTAGTGTAGATTCAGTTATGTTCAATCATACCCCCTCTCTCTCTCCCTTACAGGGAGAGGTCAGGACCACGTATGCTTTCAAGCTTTTCAATACAAAGCTGATTTTTGATTTTTATCCAAGCCAGGTGAGTGATGTGGCCCTGGGTCTCTTGTTAAATCATTTATCTACACATATATGTACAGTACAACTCAGTTATAACAAACTAGGACCTGTAAAAGTACTTCGTTATATAATTCGTTATATCCATATTTGTAATTTTGTAATATTTATATAGTTGGAGATCCAAGAAGACTTCTTTTAATTCACAATGCCCGTGTTTGTACTAAACAAGTTTTACTGCAGTTACATGTATGTGGAAGCCAAATAGGAGTAAAAGATGTATTATTGTATGTCATCTTCATTATTTTGTTCAATCCATACAAATGTTTCTTTGAATATTGGAAACTAAAATCAGTAGAAAATTAGAAATTAAAATCTATAAAATGCCGCATATCTAAACAGAATTTTTGTTGTTGAAAAAAAACCTTTTCAGATGAGCAAGGCTGTAATAGTTATACTAATATTCAGAATCAAATAACAGCTAACTACTTTGGCAAGGATGGGGTGAGGGTTAAAGAAGGGGTTACATCACTTGAAAATTTAGAGAAGAATTGTAGAGCTGAGGTTTTTTTCAAGAACCACAGGGCCAATTTTTACCAAACTTGGCAGGGCTAAGACCCCTTACAAGGGGTGATAATCAAGAAAAGAGAAAAAATAGGGAGCCACTGCGTCAGAAAAGCTGAAACTCTTCTGTGAAAGCATCCAGGGATTAAGTGTTGATTCTAAATTGTTTAAATCATGTCCCCCTCCTCCTAAGAATAGACCTAAACCACAATAGGTATTACAAGTAGGAAAATCTGGTGTAGAACAGAATGACCAGTTACTCTGGTGAGTGTTATGGACCATGGCCTTCTTGTATTCATGATCATGATCATAGAGAAAACGAACCTTAGCTACTCTCCTCCTTCAACAGCAACAAGAAAAAATTGCTTTACGGAATGCCTATTTTCATTAACAAAGTTCACATTTTGAATTATATTTTTTTCCAGATTGATGAATGAACCAATGCATTATGTCAGAGGAATCTAGCTGGAGCACCTATTTAGCAGTCAGGACACATAGATGTACCTGTACAGTTGATACAGATAATCTCAACGGCACATTTCTAAATGATGGCCAAAAAAATCTAATAAAGACACTGTCAGTTTAAAACCTTTTGAAAGAAATCCAGACCAGAAACAATGGATATTGATTTTTAAGCTCCTCCAAATGTAAAAGGGGTTTTATTGAAACCAAGACTTGGATACACCCAAGGATATTTAATATTACACCCCTTCAACATAAAATTTTGAATTTTAGTATGCCTATCTAGTCAAGAACATGGATTTTTTGACATTTGATACACTTTATAATGTTATATTGACATTTTTTCAAGATTTCTTTACTGTAAACTATGTATTTCAGCAAAAAGTACATTTACAGATGATTTTTCAAAAATTGCTTTAAAAATACAATTGAAATAATTAGATCATGTCTCATAAATGGTTAATCACAGTTACCACAGAAACCAAATATTTGTTTTAAAGAAGTTAGGTACAAAAAAATGTTGTGTCTTTCATTATTTTAGCTAATGGCCACCCATACAGTTTTCTTCATACAAACTAATCACATTGACTAAATTGTATAGGCAAATACAATATTTTTGGAGATGTTGTCATGGTAACCAGATACAAATCACAAAAGCATATATAAAAAAATATATTTTCATGCATTTACAATAAACTGTGAAAATAATACATGTATGTTAGTCAATAATTATTTTGTATTTCATGGAGATTTTGTAAAGTCAATTTATTTAAAAAAGCATTTCCAGAATAATTTGTTACCATGGTTACAAAAATTTATTAATCCACTGGTTTTATCTAATATTTGCAAGGTTTAGGAGAACATTTTTTATCTTATATTATCAATTTTTTTTGCTTGTGGTATTTTTTCCACAACATACTCTGAAAATGATATATTTTGGTATTTTCTTGAAAAATGAATTTTTGTGATATTCTGTTGCCATGGTTACAGAATATTTTTGAAAAACCCATGGGTTTTGTTTTGTTTTATTAGAATAAGGATTGTGGTCTTTCTATCCCACACTTTCAGTTTTCTTTACCATGTGGGATTTTTTCTAACTATGCTCTTAAAAATGGTTATTATTGTGAAAAATGAATTTTTGTGACATTTTGTTGCCATGGTAACAGAATATTATTTAAAAACCCATGGGTTTTATTTAATTTTAATGAAATTAAGAAAGTGCTCTTTCTATTCCACATTATCAGATTTCTTTAACATGTGGGATTTTTTCTTACTATGCTCCTAAAAACGGTTATTATTGTGAAAAATGAATTTTTGTGACATTTCGTTGCCATGGTAACAGAATATTTTTAAAAAACCCATGGGTTTTATTTAATTTTATCAAAATTAAGAATGTGCTCTTTCTATCCCATGTTAGCAGATTTCTTTTACTTGCGGGCCTTTTTCTTAATATGCTTCTAAAATATGTTGGATTTGAAGAAATATTGTGAAAAGTGAATTTTATGAAATGACCTATGTTAAATTGAAATTCAGCACCTTTAATAAATCCTATATAATTTTATCCTTATGGTAATCATTTATCATTTTGTATGTACTTCTCAGGAAAAAAGGATTTATTTATGGTACTATCATCAAAAAGCTCTGTTCCTGTGTTCAATAATGGTTAAATTCACATTTTTTTCAATTTTTTGCTTGGTTGCCATGTGCATTTACATGGTGCATTGTTTCCATGGCAACAAAGGCTGGCCAAAAAAATTATGTTGTCCAATGATGTTCCCTTGGTCCATGAAGCAACATATTAAAATTTTGTAAAAATCTGAAGTGGTCATGAATCACCCCCTGCCTGGTTCTTACAAATAGCTGTACTTAAGTAATGTTTGTACTTCTTGATGATGCCCCCATGTCAATTACTGTTCCTGAAAAGAAGATTTTTAAAGATTTTCTTCCAATATATTACGTTGTTAATTGATTCCCCATTTTGCCCCTCAATACCCCCACAGGGATCGTATTTGGACATTTAAATCTTCACTGCATGAGGTTGCTTACATGTTTTAGATACATTGTAGATGACTAAAAATAGCCTCTCTGTTTTTTAGAAGATATTTTTCCTCTATTTCCTCACTTCTATGTAAAAAAAATTTGATCTCCCATTGTGACCCCACCCTCTTTCCCCGTTGTTATGAATTGAACAAACTTGAATCTACACTATCAGAGAATGCTCAATATAAATATGACCAATCGTGACTTTCTCTTTTTGAGAATATTTAAAAAAAGATTCTTAATATTTTTATGTAAAACAGTGATCCCCATTATGGCCCAATCCTACCCTGGTGGTATTATTTGGTGGGAAAAACTTGAATCAACCCTACCAAAGGATGCTTCTATTTAAATATCACCAAATATGCCTTCGCTGTTTCTAAAAAGAACATTTTAAAAGATTTTTTCGCTTTATGTATGAATTTAAACTTTGGAGAATATAGCCCCAGTATACCCTTGGGGATCATAATTTGAACAAATTTAGATGAACACCACCTAGGAATGCTCCCATATAAATATAACAAATCATGGCTTGGTTCTTTCTTGAGAAGATAATTTTTAAAGACATCACCTATGCATTTCTCTGTAAAACTTTAATTTGATCCCGCATTATGGTCCCACCCTACATGTACCACCGGGGTTTATGAATTTTACCATCTTGAATCTACATAATGTCAAGAAGCATATTCATATGATATAATTTTATCACGGACAAAGACATTTGAAATGTTAATACAATGTATTATAACATATTTACTGTGTTGAAAATACATGTACATCATCTATATATTTGAAATTATAAATTCATTTAATGTAACTCCGTTTTAAATAAATTTCAGTACCTTGTAACCCTACAATGTATGGTGAGAACTGCACACTACCATGCCCATGTGTAGTCGGACAGTATGACAGATGTGACGCAAATGGAAGTTGTCTTTGTTTGCCGGGATGGTTGGGGGATAGTTGTTCAAAACGTTTGTAAAAATATTCTTTTAGCATTTGAATATATAAAAATAAACATTTAAAGATTGATAATATCATTTTTTAATTTGACTTTGTTTGTTTCAGGAATTAAATTGATTTAATTATATCATTATTTCCAGCCTGTGAATCAGGAAAATACGGGGACAAATGCCAATTTGAATGTTCTTGTGAAAATAACGCTACCTGTAATCACGTGACCGGAAATTGTGAATGCTCCTCGGTGAATGGATGGACAGGGGAAAGATGCCAAGAAGGTGTATATACTGATAACCATTTTTTTATGATAATGGCAATAATAAATATGTACATATTATAGGTTTGCATGCAGTTTCATATTATGAGAAAATGGGGATTTGAGGTGACTATTGTCACTTGTAGTAAGACACTGACCTATAAGATTTTTAAACGTATACGTAGAAACGTAAATCGGCAATAATGGGTACTCGGCAATAATGGGTACTAGCTCGCACCTTAAGTCATTCAATTTTTATACATTTTGATTAAAGAACTCAGTTTTATTTTTTTTCAAATTGATAAACCAAACTGATATTTAGATATCCTTATTCAGGGTGTCATGGTGGTTTTTACGGACCCAATTGTTCACTACCCTGCAACTGTTCACACTTTGAAGATCCGGTCTGTCATCCGGTATCCGGGAAATGCTCTTGTAGGAGCGGGAAAAGAGGTGAAAGCTGTTCCTTAGGTTAGTATACAGGGATTCAAGGCTTTGTGGACTTTAAGGAATTATTTCAACCATTGTACAAAAAGAACTTGGTTAGGAAATTTATTTCTAGTGCGTTGAATAGCGTATTGAATGTTTGAATATTGTATTAAGAACATGAATGCACGGAAATAATTTAATTGTTTTTGATTCAATTTCAAATGACTGTGTGCTATGCCTGTAATCTAAATTTTATTATTTCCATTTCAATCTCACCTGATAGTGATAACGTCACAAAAGGACAAGACTTTTTTCTACTGGTTCAATTCACATTAAAAGTTCCCCTTCATTCAATTATCGCAAAAAATATTTACATCTCTAATGTTCTTGTATGAAATAAAACTACAAATAAGGAAATAGCTTTGTAACTTCAAAAAGTGAATTTCTCAGTGTTTCTGTGCTGTTCACAAATTTGTAATGTTTGTAATGTTCATGAGATCGACCACTTTTCTTTATTTTCAACTTTTACATTTGAATGTCATTTGTCAGTTTGTGACCCGCCGTGAGCCCTTTGTACATTCTGTATGCAGTGATCAGGGAGATGAAACATTTCATAATCAAGTTCAGTATAATGACTAGAGGAACTGTGAGAGCACTGAGCTCACTTAATGATACCCCGACCTCCCGTATGATTAGAATGGCAAAATCCATGTTTTGCTCTGAGAGACCCAAAATAAGTGTCAGATCAAAAAAAGTAAAATAGGAGGAGTACAATGGCCTCATTTAATCTGTCAAAGTACATGTATCATTAAATTTTACTGTGGTTTAGGACGAGTCGCGGATAAGAGATGGTAACCTTAAACACATTGCCCGTGCATTATAGAAAGAATGGAAAGAATGACGGTGTCCATGTGTGCTATGGAAAACCCGAAATATGTGTCAGATCAAAAAAGTAAAATAGGAGGTGCACATTGACATATATTTTTAAGAATCTGTGAAAGTGTAATATTTTATCAAGTCGTATAGGAGGAGTTGCGTATAAGAAATAATTGGTACCCTTCAGTATTACAGAAAGAATGGCAACGTCCATGTTTTGCCTTGAGAAACCCAAAATATGTGTCCAGTCAAAAAGTAAAATAGGAGGTCATAATGGCACTAACTCATTAAATTTCATTCAGAGGGTAAAGGAGGAGTTGCAGATAAGAGATTGCAACCCCAAAGCATGACGGACTGATGTACAGCTAGACTGACGGACGGACGGACATCCCGATCACTATATACCCTCTCACTCTTCTAGCGGGGAGTATAATACATTGAGTGCAATGTTTTAATGTATTTGAGTTGATGATCTTACCAACAGATTGTGAGATGTATAATTTCGGACCAAATTGTGCCCATATATGTGACTGTATTAAGAACCATTCCTTGTATTGTAACTCTTCAAATGGGGATTGTCAATGTAACACAGGCTGGGTTGGCGATAAATGCGAGCAAGGTAAGAACAAATTTCACATCATACATAGACTAAACAAATTCTAATCACCGCAAAGAATTTATTTTCAAAAAGCCACTCTCGCAGAAAAAATATCATCTTTTAAATCCTTATTGCTGAAAATTATGTAAATCTCATGATCATGTATTTTATATAGTTTCTTATATTTGAAAGTTTTTTCTAAAATCATTTTAAATCGTAAGGTGATTTTTCCATTTTTTCCCACCAAAATTATGTGGCGTGGTCTAACATAACAATGTTTAATTAACTAATCAGATGTCAAAGAGACACTTCATTAATAAAGTGAATTTCGGTAGACAATTTGTTGCGTTATTCCGCAAAAAGAATTTTAGAATTACATTGATTTGATAAAATGTGGTACTTACTAATTTCAATTTGATCGAATAATTATTATCTTAGCGTTGTTTTCATAGGATGTGATCCTTTTCATTATGGAGATGATTGTAGTAAAAATTGCTTATGTAGTGCCAATGAGATTTGCGACAATGAAAATGGAACATGCTCATCAGCAAGTGAGTTATATCTTATAATGTTATCGATTTTACAGAGTGGATAATTTTCCTCTAAAAAGGAGTGTTCAAATGTTTTATTTAATTAAACCAGGACACAAGCAATTTTGCCGAACATAAGTTTTATTTTGAATTTAAATCTGATGAGTACCAAGGATATAATAAAAAAGGATGAAAAAATACAGTGATTGATCTATAAAGAAAAAGAAGGGCCCTTGAATTTCCAGAGTTCTGATTAGGTGCCCAGGAGGGGTAATTGCGTATGAATGAAAAACAAATTGTAAAAACGAACGCTAACTAAACTCAAAAGTCCAATGAGACATCACAAATCAGGCACAATATGCAGCTTTCCTTCTTATGTCTGGAATTGTGATCTAGTTAGCATTGATCTATTATATTTTTCTTTCTAGATATTTGCTTTTCGGAGTTTTCCTTAAACTGTTTACCATCCTTCACGCTGACTTGTGAGCAGTTAAATGACAGTTGTAACGCTAGCGACGACCCTGCACCGTCACTTCAAAAAGACATGCTGAGTAAGAATACGTATATTTTTAAAATTCTTAGTTTTTTCCCTTAGGCTATAAACATTATACATCTGTACAATGTGCAATCGGACCCTTTGTTCAAATTATTGTATCAGGAATTGTATATTAATAACCCTCTTCTCTACTTGTTTTCTTTTCTTCTCTCTTTATATTAATGTGACATGTTTCATTAAAAGTATTATTATAGATATATGCTGTGAGAGTGAAGATTTTCTGAACACATCTCTCTGTATAGCGGAGGTAGATTGTAAATGTAGATCTGGTTATAGTGGCAAGGCCTGTAATGGTGAGTATATTCTTTTAATGCGTCTGTGAATACTACAGTTCTATGTTATCATTATTGTTTATGGGGGAGCACTGTTGCTTGATTTCGTGGATCACCCATACCGACAAATATACAGTCGTTTGGCCAGTTCCGAATAAGAAACCGATTCGGCTGAGCTATAAATATACTAGACATTATTTCAAAATTTAAGTGTTTTGTCAAGGTAGTTCGATGACTTGTGAAATTAAATATTGTTTCATAAAAGTTCACCCTGCCTTCAAAAAAAAAATATTTCGCAAGTTACCATAGGTGTCATTTTTACCAGTTTCGAATAGGCCGACCAGTTCCGGATAGCCCAGAGATTCTTATTCAATTCAACCCTAAATTAAAAAATATACGCCCCAGATGTTATCCATTGGCATGCCTAAGAAAAGTTAAATTAATTGCTTACTAATAAATTATTTGTATTTCCAAAGGTTGAAGAGAAACTAGAGGTACTGTGGGCACTGAGCTCATTTTAATGATACCCCACACCTTCTTTATGATTATTTAAGACAAAGTCCATGTTTTGCTCTGTGAGACCCGAAATTAGTGTCAGATCAAAAAGTAAAATAAAAGGTCATAATGTCACAATGTAATCAAGAATCTGTGAAAGTATCATTAAATATTATTCAGTGGTATAGGAGGTATTGCGGATTAGAGATGGATTTACCTTTCAATATTACAAAGAGTAGCAGTGTCTACCGGTATATGTTTTTTCTCAGGGAGCCCGAATTATGTGCGTGGTCCAAAAATAAAATAGTTTTACTTTGGCACTGATAAACAAAGATTCTGTGAAAGACTCATTAAATTCTGTGAAGCTTCATTAAACTTCATTCAGTGATAGAAGAGGGGTTGCGGATAAGAAATGGATACCCTAGAGCATATCAGACGGACGGACGAACAGCTTAGACGGACGGACAGACATCAAGAGGGATGGAAGAACGAACATCCCTTTACTATATACCCCTTCTTCCTGTTTTTCAAGCGGGGGTATAATAAATCAGGTTTACAATGAAGAAAACAACGAAGAGTGAATTTATAATTGTGTTTAAAATGGGTATTCGGAACTGGTAAAATAAGAAGACGAAAATATTTCGATATCTTCCAGTGTTCTAAAAATTTATTATTGACAAGTTTTTAGTATATGTTAGAGTACATATCAAACTTACTTTTGATACCTGGAACGTGGTTTTATGTGAAAAATTTATAAATCTGCAGAGGTTTTTCTGCAGACTTACGCGTCGCGGTGATTCACGTTTGTTGCGTTGTAAAAGTATGTCGACTGTTTCGAGTACGATAACGAAACCAAACCGAGGGCAAAAAAATCAAAACTTCGCATAATTCAAACACTAATAAATAAGCCTTCTTACCATAGAAAACAAATTATTTTTACACCGTTAAATTTATTAATTATCAGTCCTTACATTACTAATTATTCGGAACTGGCCAAAATCCGGAACTGGTAAAACGACTGTACATCTCACGAACGATTTTTTTTGCTCACATGCTACGGTCATTGTAGGGCTTCCTGGAAATCATATGCCTGGCTATTTTTGTTGAGTTGTTCGAGGACTTGAACAACCTCAGACTCTTTTCAATCTCTACTGGTGCGTCTTTCTGTCCTTTGGTCTTGATTTGATTGCTTGCCTTGGCGGTATCGTAGCCTTAATTGTCTTCTATGATTTTCCCCGTGGTAGCGTGATTTGCAAACAAAATAACAATAACAAAAATTAATATTTCGAACTAATGGTACTGTGAGTAATGAGCTCCATAAATTATATCCCCCGCCTACCATGAGGTTATAATTGCAAAGTCCGTGTATTGCTCTGCGGACTAAGTGTCAGATAAATAAATAGGAGGTGCACAATGACATTATATAATACATGTAAGGAATTAGTGAAAGTATCATTGAATTTAAATCAGTGGTATTAGAGGAGTTGTGGATAAGAGATGGTTACCCTTCAATGATATACAAGGAAACAAATGGAGATCAAAAGTCCATAAAACAATACAAAATAGGGGCAGAGCAAACACGGACTTCCATAACATCAGAGGTGGGATTAAGTGACATGGAGGAGTAAGTAACCCTTCCAACTGGTCACATCAGCCGTGTGCTCTTTGTCATGATCAGGAAATAACGGAAAAATCCGTCGTTAATTCAGTGTATAAATAATGGACTGACACTTGATATTGGAAACTAAGTCAGCATGTGTCTCAATGATAAATTGTTTTTGCTGACAAGGTCATGTTATCGAACTAAGGTAAAGAGACTGCTGATATTATTGTTTCAGCAACTTGTTTGTCAATAATTAAACTCATTTTAGAAATCGTTCATACGTAGAGCATGCTTTTGCGTATCGAATCAACTGAGATATGTAATCTCCGTATGTAGTTGATGAATAGATGAAGGTACATGTATATTGATGCATAAGTCTGACAGAATAGACTTGTCCATGTTTTGCTCTGGAACACCCAAAATATGATCCGATCAAAAAGTACAATACAATGGCACCATCTCACAAAGTTTCAGTGAAATTCTCATAAAATTTCATTCAGTGGTAAAAGAGGATTTGCGGGTAAGAAATGGTACTCAAAAGCATAATAGATTGTCGTAGGTCGGACGAACAGACGGATACCGGTAATAGTTTTGATAATTTTCATCTATACACAACAAGATTGCCACTTTTCCTAAGTATTAAGAATAAAATTAAAATATGTGAAAGTGCAAGGATGTGTCAATCAAAGCGGTCTAAAAGAGGAAATAAGATTTTAAATATATTTTTGTGTGAAATGCTATTAAAATATATAAATGGCGTAATATTATACAAAACATATTAACTTCAAATATGACATGTGTCTATGCACCTTTAATTTAAATATGAAAAGTAATTAATTTTGATGCAATATTTACATTTAAAAGTAAAAAAGACATTGACTGAAGTTTATGAAGCAAATATTTTGATTTTAAATGACGCAATTTTTATCTAATAGTATTTTTTCTCCATAAATGAGACCTACGTTTTATCTGCACAACATTTAAATTAAATGTAAATAAATATCGCTCATTTATCGATGCAAGAGAGATTTGTTTTTTACATTAAATTAATTTTTTGTACATTATTCTTTTAGGAGACGGGTCGGGTTTTTAAAAAGTTTTAATGAATCTTAACCTTAAAATTTCATAAAACATATAGAATGGGAAAAATATTATTCCACAGGTTTTAAAGAACTTAATCAAAGTTTTCACTATAGTCTATCAAAGTTCCAAGGTATGTTACGCTTTGGGGTACCCTTCTCTTATCCGCAACTCCTCTCATACCACTGAATATCGCTCATTTATCGATGCAAGAGAGATTTTTTTTTAACATTAAATTCATTTTTTGTACATTATTCTTTTAGGAGACGGGTCAGGTTTTTAAAAAGTTTCAATGAATCTTAACCTTAAAATTTCATAAAACATATAGAATGGGAAAAATATTATTCCACAGGTTTTAAAGAACTTAAAGTTTTCACTATAGTCTATCAAAGTTCCAAGGTATGTTACGCTTTGGGGTACCCTTCTCTTATCCGCAACTCCTCTCATACCACTGAATGAAATTTTATGAAACTTTTAGAGAATCTTATTTTACTTTTTGATCCGACACATATTTTGTGTTTCTCAACAAAACATGGACACTGCCATTATATTCATATGGAAGGCGGCGGTATCATTTAGTGAGCTCATTGCTCAAAGTACCTCTAGTTTTGTTAGGGAAACTTATACATGAAATTTATTAGGACTCGACACTCTAAACCAAATACTTTGCGACAATTTTTTTCTGTTTGTAATAAGTAAAAAAGTAAAGTGTTCGGTGGTTTTTAACTTGCTCTAAGATCTGATTTAAGTTATTTTACAAAAAAAAACACCTATTTAGTATATAGCAGTTTGTATAAATATAGATTATTTAAAATATTTTTACTTTGAAGTCTAAACATATAACATTCTGGAATATGTTCCTTATTTTTTATTGTATAAAACTTTGAATTCCTGATGATATGTTTGCATATGCATGTCTTCAAAGAGGTCCTCTCTGACGCGTCAGTTAATTGTCTCATCGAATATCATTTAATCAATTTTTATTCACAATAAATATTTTGTATTATTAAGAATTTTACAAATTATTTGTACAATTTTTTTCATTGAAAATATTTTTTTTACTTCTTTACATTACAAAAACTGTTTTGTCAGAAGACAAAACAGAAGCAGTAGCCGACCAACTAAAGTCTGCAGTATCGTCAACAGTTGTTGCCACAGTAACTGTAATTTTGGTTCTTGTAACAGCAGTTATTGTCGTGATTGCTGTTTTATGGCGTAGGAAAGGCGGGTAAGAAAAAGTTTCATAATGACAATTATTATATGATTAAATAATTTCCATCTCTCTGATTGGCTGAGATCCAACTATGTTAGAAAAACACTACGTTGTATTGACCTGCACGTGACGTTTCAGGTGAATACAAGGATTTATTTCCTCTACATTGATCTAAAAATAGATTGGGAAATTCCAAATTGATACAAATTGTTTTGGAAGGCTATTTAAACGACTATGACTTTTTTCATGTGAACAAAACATAAGCGAATATATATTTTCGGGTGAGGGTTGTAAGAGGGGATGCGGGGACCCCCCCCCCCCAGTACTTTTACTGATCAGCAATTTTTACATTTTGGCAGTCAGTTTTCCCTGATAATACTCCTTCCTTTCAAAATCTATCCTATAAAAAAGACTGACATGTATATTTTTTTCATGGCAACTAAAATTGAAAAAAAAAACAAACATTTCAAATGGATACAGACGGTAAGGTTTATTTACATTTTAATTCGACTTATCTCTTGTATTTGGCTGAGACTAATTAAATGCAAACAAGTAATGAGCTGTATAATTTTATCAGTGAATCATATAATATAACAATTATTGCTGTTTTTTCGGTCAATGCAATGATTTAGCCAGCTGAAGAGTACAATATTCACCTCGCCCTTCGGGGTTGGTAAATACTGTACTCCTCAGATGGCTAAATCATTGTACTGACCTCAAAAACAGCAATAATTGTATAGTTTTTTTTTTTTCAAATATGAGTAAAATGTTCAAATTTATTTAAAAAAAGAAATGCTGCATAATTTTTTTTTAATTTTGTATTAGATAACAAACGATAATCATGGCCCAAGTAAAGAAAATGTGATATAAATTATGACTAGATCAATCAGAAGTGAGCTTATTTAGAATAATAGAAGGGATTATGTGCCATTGAGGTGTAAGCATTCAAACATTCTTTCCTGCTTGTGAAATCTTCGCCTTACTGTTTAATGTAGGGAATCTGTAGAAAAAAATTATATATAAATAATTTATTTTTTGGTTGTAACACGTCATTTGACTGGTTAAAAAATTAATCTTTATTGATTAGCCTGGGTTGCCTGCGGCGCAATGATTTACGTAAAAACACGTATCTATCTGCTTGACGTTACATTTACAATTTGAACAGTATGTAGGCATTTTTATGTAGGAAATTGTCTTCAAGTGATTACTTTATGGTTGAAAATTAAATTATTAGGAATGAATTTAATAGTTACCAAAGATATACTGGTATAAAAGTCAGTATAACTTAGGAAACTATTATTTTTTAAATGACTTGACACATTTAAATGACTTCTAAATTCACATACACTCAAAATATACTCGAGATAGAAATATTTTTATTTTCTATTAATAAAATACGAGGACTGTATGGTAATAATTGAGACGTTTATATTTACTCCATGAAGGATGGGGATAAATTCTTGAAAAGTCGTAAACAAGAACGAATCAAAGAAATGTGTAAAGTTTTAATATATTGGATAATAAGATGAGTTGCAGCACAATTATAAAAATGCATAATTTATGTTTATTGACCTGGAGCAGCACCGCTACGTCATTTTACGTTCGCCTAAGATGTTTTTCGTGTTTGGAACGACCTGAAAGAGTTTAGCTCTGTTATCACATTTAAAATCCCATCTCTTTTCTTTAACGACTTCTTAAAAATATATATGTACTGTTTCCACCCAGGGTAAAATATTTACATTTGCTGATGTCTTTCCTCCATGAAATTTTAATTCAGTTTTCAATATTTACATTCGCTGTGTTTTCCTACTAAGAAGGATATGGAGATAACGAACAGTATTCAATCTCAAAGTCCATAAAACAATACAAAATAAGAGCAGAGCAAACACGGACCCCCGAAACATCAGAGGTGGGATCAGGTGCCATGGAGGAGTGAGCATCCCCTGCCGACCGGTCACACCCGCCATGTGCTCCTTGTCATGATCAGGAAATAACGGAAAACATCCGTCTTCAATTCAGTGTATAAATAATGGACTAACAATTGGTATGAAAAAAGTGTGAAATTGATTTGAAAACCTTTTTCGTGTATACTTACGCTTAGAAATATACACGGAGAAACGTGCGTTAACGTGACGTCACAATGAGGCTACAGAGACCTTAGTATAAGTATAATGATATAGGGCAGGAAGAAATTCAAATATTGAGTATATTTTTAGTGCTTCAACACATGTAAAATGTAAATATAAAGAAATGTTTTTCAGTTTAGTGTGAGTTATTGGTGTGTGAATCACACATCCTTGCACGTAGGCATATTTTTCATTAAGCGCTAGCGCGCTTAATGAAATATGCCTACGTGACAAGTGATTCACACACCAATAACTCACACTAAACTTAAAAATATTCCTTAAATGACATGCAGTTGATCACATGATGCGATTTTCTTGCATATGGAAAGTAAACTGCACGAGCCATTTGAAAAGTTCAGATTTAGACGTCACATGTCGTCGAATAAACGTTATGTTGCATTTCCATAATAAAGTCTAAATAGTGCCTATTTTTCCTTGTCACACAAATAAAAAATTAAAATATAAATATAAGAAATAAATTGTCATTTTTGGTGTTTCATTGTGATATGACATGAAGTCGGTACGTGATCAAATATATTATAACGTCCTTCGGGCGTTATAGAATTTGGTCACGTGACCGACTTCATGTCATATCCCAAATGACACTCAAGAAACGATATTTTATTTCTTAAATGAACATGTGCCTTATACAGCATACAGGTTGACTGAGCGTTATGCAGTACTGATTCATGTAACGTGGGTCAAGGTTATTTCGTACGTAGTGATTAATAGTCGTCTGGAGCTTTTGACTACTCCCGGAAAAATCAGAGCCACTCCCTAGGTCTACTCCTTCATGAATATTTATTATTTATTTTAACCACTCAAAGTGTCCAGTTGGCGGAGCGGTCAAGGAATCTCGAGCCTGTGACGTAATGTTATAAGCAATGTAAATATGACGACATGCGATGTCAAAATAATACTTGAATTCTAGCAAAATGAAGACAACGATAATTCTTCGACAAATGTAAGTGAAAATATTTTTTAAAGAAAATTTTATTGTTTTCTGATGCGATGCAATAGTTTTTATCTTTTAAACTGCATGCATTTGATATTATGCCTCTATAGTGATTTTTTAAATGTCGGAATATCTCGAAAAGAAAATAAAGATTTTGTCTATGATTATTTCGGTATTAAAAACACAGTTACGAAATGGGAACTCGGGAAATAGCAATTTAATGGTACCCCTCGAGCTCGGCTTCGCCGCCTCGGAAAATAGTTTCCTCTCTCGGGGAACCATAAATTCGGTATTCCCTCGTACCCATTCCATAACTGTATATTGTTTTAGAAGGTCGCTCAGTATGGAGTTTGTTCTCAATAGCGCTTCACAAAAATTTTGCTTTGCTCGCTGTGCCGCCTTGACATCAAATTGTTATCATCTTTCTTTACTGTGCTTCAATACTTTAATGATCTCCGTATTTCTGATCAAAATTCTCAGAAAATAAAGTATACGTAAAAATAATATTAATAAAAAAATATACATAAGTTGATATATTCTTCTTACAATTGGCACACGCGAGGTAAAACTTTGGTGTCACATACTTTCAATATTTGATTTCGTGACTGCTACTATTCTCAGATTTATATACCACTGAAAAGAAGAAAAATATTAAAGAGAAATATTTCTTGCTTTTTCCTAGTGTTTGTCAAACATATATTCGAATTTTCAGCGAAAAATGTTTATTAGAAAAACTAGAGGTACTGTGAGCAATGAGCTCACTAAATGATACCCCTGCCTCCCATAATGTACATGTGTTGCTAATAGAATTGCTATATATTGTTATACGGTAATGTGTAAAGAGGAATAACTCGTCTTATCAAATGTTATCCAGAAGCTTTTATGTGACGTCAGAGGAAAACATATAATGGCAATGTACATGATTTGCTATGGGAAACCTAAAATACGTGTCGAATAAAAAAGTTAAATAGGAGGTGCACAATGACAATATGTAATAAAGATTCTGAAAAAGTTTTATTAAATTTCACTCAGTAGTATAAGTTGCGTATAAGAGATAAAGCGTAACAGATGGACGGACAGACGAACGGACGGACGGACGGAAATCCTGATTACTATATACCCTCCCACTTTTCTAGCGGGGGGTACATGTATAATAAATATACACAATGTCTCGATAATTTACTAACAGCACTCGTAGATGGAGATAAGGAACAGTATTTAAGCTCAAAAGTCCATAAAACAATGCAAAAAAAGAGTGGGGCAAACACAGACCTCCAAAACATCACATCTGTGAATAGGAGCCATGGAAAAGTGAGCATCCCCTGCCTACCGGTCAAACCCGCTGTCTGCTCCTTGTAATGAATAGGAAATAACGGAAAATATAATATCAAAGGATTATTTTCGTTATTTTCATTGGCTGAAAGGGACGTCACGTGATATTCCTCCTTTTTTGATATCGGCGCGAAAGCGCGTCCGTGGAAAATGATATCGCACGACACGCCGTTCGGTTGCATTGAAGTTACGTAGAACGTGTTGTCATAATATTAGAAGCGTGTTTTTAACCATTGTGACGTAATGACAGCCAAGTCTGCTTAGTTAGGACTGTGTCAGTGCATTCACTTTGAGTGATTATTTAAGGAATGAATTGAATAGCTACCCATTTTATACGGTATAAACTGGGTTTTGGCAGTTTACACTTTATAAACCGCTTAAAAAACGTAAACTGGTCTTACCCAGTTTATACTATATTTAATGGGTAGCTATTCAATTCATTGCATATATATAATATAATTTTCATTCATTTGATGTAAGAAAAAGAAGATGATTGTTCAAACAAAATGACTTCAGTGTGTACAAAATTTGAATGTAACGTCAGGCGGATCGATACTTTTTTGACGCAAGTCATTGTGACGTAGGCAACCCATTTTATACGATAAAAAGTAAATTGTTTATCCAATCAAATACAGCGTTACATTCAGAATTAAATTACATAATATTAATATCATGGACTTCAGTGAACTGTCAATATGTGGTTATAAGGACTCATGGCAATTGATATTGACCCCAGACACGAAAAATGATAGCGACCTCGCAGGCTAGGTCGCTATATATCTCTTTCTGTGTCTTAGGTCAATATCAATTGCCATGAGTCCTTATAACCACGTATTAACCTACACTAAAGTCCATTATTGTATAATACAGCGTTAATTCAGTGTGTACCGGTTAATAATGATCTAACATTAAGCATAAAATACGTCAGTCATCTTTTGAATCAATGATATTGTATTTGCTGACAAGGTCGTTGTTTTTAACAACGTTTCTTCTAATTAAGAAGCTCAGTTTATATCATAGTGATTGTCTTATATTAATATTAAGCTTTTATAAGATATACTTATAATGCAAAAATGTTTCTGTTTTCCTTTTTAAAAAAATCAACATAAAGCATCCATATAAAAACGAAAGACAGCAAAAGTACAAATAATCCAGTTTATGGAAAACCTATGTTGGGCAACGTTACAGGTATTTAATTATTACATTATTTTATGTCATCTGTATCCTCCATTTCTCTGTATGTTACTATAAAATCCCTAATAAGAACGCCTCAATCAGTTTTCTCTGGAATTGAATTAAATCCAATCAACATTTTTTTTACATAAAAATTGTAGGCCAAGGATCAAAACAAAGACTACAAGATAAAAGCCAGTTAGAAATGAATATTCTTAATCGAGATGATGTGAACAATTACGGATACGACGTTTCTGCGAGGGAATCCAGAAATAAGGAAAACGAAATCTATTCCAAAAAACTTGTAAATGAGATGTATGATCATCTAGAGAGAAATAGTTCCAACGGCTTAAACAACATAGACGAAACATATTCTCACGCCCAACAAAATAGTTCCAACAGCCCAAACAACATAAACGAAACATATTCTCACGCCCAACAAAATAGTTCCAACTGCCCAAACAACACAGACGAAACATATTCTCATGCTGGGCCGGCGCTTGAAGACGATAACGAATATGATACAGCCGGAGGAAATCATGTACCTTCAGATTGTGTTTATGATCATACTAGCAATCAAAATCATATATACAGCAACCAATTTACAGAGAACAAGCTCTGAAGATAGATATATGTTGAAATAAGTGGAAATTCCTTTTG